TCTATGGTGTTATTTCCATACATATCGCAATGAGAACATGCAAACTTGCCGTTGCCATCGCTGATATATTCAGACGACCTTTACGAGCACAGACACCAATTTGATTTTATTTCGATTTAAGGAGCACAGATAGCAATTTCATTTCATTCACTTTCGATAGCCAACAATTGCTTTCGTTACTTCACCTCTGATCTCGTATTATCTAATCTAATAATTAATCTAATTAAATTAATCGCCAAACATTCGTTCTAATTAATCATTCATCATTCTCTTTCATACCAATGGTATCCCAAATGCCTACTCACATAAGCACGTAAGTGCATGCAATCATATAATTAAACATTTATGTACACAGAGAGGTGAAGAAATTGAAAAGTGTGTGATGGGGAAATGAATCATTGCATCGTTTGAAATAATTATCAATGCTCTCCGTGTTTATGGCATCTGAATTGCTTCATTTCCAGCGATTCAATTTTTATTCTTCTTCATATTACCTGCGTATTTTTTGCATTAATTGGTTATATTGTATTGCAATAAGGTCATTGATTGCATTAATTCATGCATTGAATATGGCGGCGCTGCTCTTACTTCGCTTTTCATATGTATGCCATCAAAGTGTTACTCGTTGACTGCATTTTTTGCATTTTAAATGATATTTAAAAGAACTAAAATGTCGGAGGAATCAACTTGAATTTTCAGAACATTTTGTAATTCAAAGAAGTCAACGATGAAGCTGAAAAATTTCATCAAGACATCAGTGGTAGCTGAAATTTTGAAAGTATGAAACATTTTGAATGTCCAAAAAATGATTTCTGATTAGATTGAATCCTTAACTTTTTATTTTGATTCTTTGTTTCAAAATTTATTCAATTTCAGTGCAGAAGCTTTCATTTATCATGAAATATCTACGTAATAGATATATATTAGAGCAAAAGGATTTCAGACTGGTGGATTCACTAAAGGCGGAGGATTCCGATTACTGGATTGTGCGTCTGTTGTGTCACCGCGAGATCATAAGGAATTCATGGAGAGTAATTATGGCAAATTTGAGAAGTTAATGAGTATGAATACCAGGTACCTATCAGATGCTACATTTTATTTTTATAAACATGTACACTAGATATTCGAGCGGATTGTGGACTCTGGACTGTGCATAACGTCATTTGCATACCATCTCTTGGCTGCAAACAATAGTTCGCATTGAAATATTACGGTGAAACTGTAATTTTCAGTCAACGTCAAGAGTACATGAATAAGCACATCCCAAACGCAGTTCACATAGATTTAAATATAGCCACATATCCTGATCAGTATCAGCCTTATTCCATGTATCCGCCAGAAATTTTTCAAAAATATGCCCGTTTGCTGGGTATCAATCGCTCCGAGCATATCATCTTATATGATCGAGAACGAGTTGGTGGTATGTTGCATCCTTGTCGGATTTCATGGCTATTCAAGGTCAGACATCAAATTTATTCTTTTTATTTATTCTGCTCTATGACCGTTAATTTTGCCATCAGATTCAAAATGTTCAATTCATTATTTGTTAATCGTTTGACTTAGTTATTTGATTGCGCTTGATCAAAAAGAAATTCATTACTTGCTGATTAGTGATAATATTAAAAATTTCCATTTACTTAAGTTTTAGAAGAATTGAGTGTTAAATATTTGCAGTACTATGGCCACAAAGCAGTGTCTGTTATGGATGGTGGATTACAAGCTTGGGAAGAAGATGGAGGAGAAGTGACTCAAAAGGAACCAAAAATTGAGGTTGACACACTTACTCTGTGGAAAGTAGTAGTGTAAACAAGATAAAAATTAGCAAATTAAAAAAAATTGATCTAGCCAGGTGATTGGGTGGCAACTTTGTGTCCGGAATATATTGTAACATATGAAGATCTGGTCAAGAAGGATGCTTCTGGTAGAAACTTGCTCGATAAAGCCGCGCAAGTGAGTACATTTATTAGAATTTCACAGCATAATTTTCCGTTTCATATAACTTCATGAAATAAAATGTGCAGTTTGAGAATTCTTCGCATCAATCACCTTAATGAAAGTGTAGTAGAAAACCTGTTTAAAATTGAATATAATTGGTCGTTAAGTGTATTTATCAATTGTAAATTCTTTGGTAATAATTGGTAATAATTGCAAATCGTCTTTTTTTGGTAATAATTGCAAATCGTTACATTCTGTTCTATGATAAGTGATGGAGGTTTCAGCTCAATTTCTTCGACTCCCGCCCGAGAGAACAATTCGAAGGAAAAGCCGATACCGGCCTCGACCCCAACAGTTGTTCTCATCTTACTTTTACTTTTAATTTATTACAGATCAATTGTGGCAAAATCTTTGTCTTTCTCCTCTCCGGTTACATTTCTTTTTACGTTGTGATCATTAATCTACACAAAATTGGGCAGTAAAAATTGAAGGCTTTTTCAGAAGTTACTGGCTCTCATGTGAAAGGAATGAAGTGTGCTCCAGCAGTGGAAATGATTGATGAAAATGGTCGCTTAAAAACTGATAAGGAACTGAAATTCTGTAAGAAACTTAAGTAGCTACGACAAACTAAGAATTCACTGTCCTTTCCTAAAATATCTTACCTTTCTTTCTGAACATGAACACTTCTTCCAGGGTTACAAAAATGTGGATTCAAGCATAACCTCCCAACTATATCACTCTGTCTACGTGGCATGCAAGCGTGCATGCTAAATCTCGTTATCGAAGATATATTTCCAACACTACATCCACGTGTTTATCATGGATCATGCCTTGAATTACAAAATCGAGATCCAGCAAGACTCTCTGAGTGATTGGTAGAATTTGCGTGTACTGTGCAAGGACTGGCGAGTGTTGTGCAACTGTTTGTTTTATGTATCATTTGCCTTCAATGAAGTGAAGGCATTAGAATTTATATATATGAAGCTGAATCTGTTAAGATGATCTACATCTATCGGTAAGCAATACATATCTCAGATCAAAAGTCAATAGAACAGATTCTTTGCTCAAATTAATATTCACTGGATCTGCGAAAAAGTTTCTTTGATGACTTTTGCCCTATCAGTTTTTGTCTTTGTTATTTAAAAATGCTCCTAATGTCTTCATTGTGTTGTACAAACACAATCGATATTAAGTATTGCCCATTTGATGCTAAACCGAATATTACTGGCGTTTTATCAATGAATTAAAATCAGAAAATATTTAGTGACATTAAAGAAATAATCCTGCCGTAAACAACATGTGGGATGTATGTAAAAATAAAATCATTGAAATTTGTCGACAACTTCAAAACGAATACCATACTTTTCAAGACGACCGTAAATGCCCGTGTCTCTAAATGCAGCAGCTGGTGTGTATACTCCTCTATAAAATTACTTCAATAAATATGATAGTGACAAAAATAAGAAATCGTAATTTTGACCTCAAAATGAAATAAACTAAACATATCTTGAAACAACTCCATTTCTTTTACAGAATTGAATTTGCAAATACATAAAGTTCTAAAAAACTCATCTAGTTTTGGAATAGTTCTTTTTTCACAATTTTCCGTTCCTAGTGAATTTTGACTGACTGAACTTTTCATCAAAATTCGATATATCAAAAAAACTTCACACATTTCGAGTTAGAAATTTAAGGGAGCTAGTAAAATATACACCAACCCTTTCGGAAGCTTATCACCATCACTAATCAATGACAATGCAGCAGCAAGAACACAACCTGAAGTTGCTATGTATCCAGCATCTGGACCCACACATCGAGCTGTTATCTATAAAAGATGCTTAGAAATTTATTACAGTTCTAGATTTTGCACATACAAGTGAAAAAAAGGAGTCGCTTGATTTTTAGAGGAGAAAACTATTTTTTTTTCACTTATAGCAATCAAAAATAAATAGCTCTATTTACTGATAATTAATAAAATTCACAGCACCTGTTTGTCAGGTTTTGTTTTGAATTCATCCAGAGAGTCGTGCTTTTCGGCCCAGCCTCTACCAAAAAACCAGTAAATAAATGAAGCTTGCCGTACCTATAAATCTCAAAAATCTTTATCATGCCTTCGATATTTAATCAATCAGACAAACTAGAAGACTTATAATAATTTGACATGTGTTTGAAGTTGATTAGACTAAAATCTGCAATTACTGCACTACACGAACTGCTAATACATGAATTCTTTTTTCATGGAGATATAACTCTTATATTTCTATGCAAATTCTTGGATTTTTATCAGTCATAAAATATTTCGGTGATTCAGAATGTTATATGTTTTAACGAATAAGTGAGAATGAGAAAAAAGTGAAAACAGTAAGAAAAAAACTTATCGAAATTCACAAGACAAACCTGTTCAGAAGTAGGTCCCGATTCTTTGAACATACCAAAACTGCATAGTCCTGGATATGACAGTAAAAAATCTCTCATAAATGCAATTTTGGCAGCAGCTGTGAAAACTACAAGCCATAACGATAGAAGAAAAGCCCACAATGATGATTTCACGCGGATAAATGTTTCTACTTGGACCTAAATAATGTCTCATGAGTGACTTAAAGTAAAAGCAACTTTTTGAAGCCAAATTTGGCATTACAATAGAGTGATATACAGAACTTCAGTTCTGATTTCTTAAACTAGTTGTTAAATACTTTTTTTTCGCTGTTTGTCAAGATGGAACGAAAAGATATCTTTGATTTTTGTACAGATTAAAAAAAAATCAAAGTAGCTGATATTTGGAATACAGGAGCCCAAATTCATCCATTTGTAACTTCTTATAGATGAATTTATTGCTATACTTGAACCTCTCTCCCAAAAACGCAAAATTAATGCTGTTTTGAGTGAGTTACGACATGCGAGATGTTCTTGCCTTACATTTATTACAGTTCATGTACAGTATATTTACAATTACGAGCATTTAAAAAATTACAGCTGGGTTTATGACTTTACTACTTTTAGAATCGCAGTGAATTACCATCACAAAAACTACTGATTTCTATCTACAGCTAAGAATTGAAATTCTAAAGAAATTTCAGGAATCGTATACTATTATAATTTAAAAACTAATCAGAAAAAGGTGATAACATAGTTTTACGAAAAAATAGTGAATAAACATCTATCAAATTAAAACCTTGCTATACGTGCACAATTTGTAGTTAATAAGTAAATAAAATACTAAAGGTGGTATGAAAAAGAAATGCAACATACTGGTAATATGTTATGAAGTTTGAAATCGAAATATTGAGAACGAGTTACAACACTTTTATCAGATCCATAAAATGGAAGACACCAACCATCAATTTTATCGTTGAACCAGAAAGTGCCCCTAAATTAATAAGTAATACATACTAAGAACTAATAATAATGAACACGTCTTAATACAAGCCAACAACCTTTTTGGTGCTCGAAAAGAACTTTTTGGTAATCGCTCTGGCATTATACTGCGCCGTATTTTACCCAAACCATCAGTATGCATATTGGCTATGCCCAGAACCAAAGTACGATAAGTACCTGCATTGAATGAATAACCCTGAAAAATTCATTTCACATGTGTAAAATAAGAAGAATTTCCAGCTTTAAAATAGAAGATAATTTTGCAGTTAGAAAATTTGGAAAACTTCAGAGCTTTATACAACATTATTTGATCAAACAAGGAATTTCGAATCGACAACTTTTCAAAACAAACACTAATAAGACATTAAAAATTCATACTGAAAGGGACTTAGAAGGAAATAAGTGTAATAAATTTTTATGGGATTTCAAGAAAGTAATAGATAAACAGTCTTGGACGACATGATCACCCTTTATTAATAAATTCATGATTAATATTTAGAAATAAGTGGAATCAAACCGCAGATCCAGTATTAAGTTGTACAAACGTTTCAACATCATTAAGTTGTCCATCAAATTTGTTCTTCAAAAAATTGATGCCCAGATCACAAGGGATGCTATCCCATCCACATGCGCCAACCACATACAGTCCTTTTTTCTCAGCCACTTCGCTATATTTCATTTGCATTGATTCCAAAAACTGTAGTAAAGTCAACAGATAATTATGTATTAAAAGTGAGATAGAAATAGCACTAAGATCAGTACAGATTCCGAGGTTAATTTGGATAATATACACTCGTATAATACAAAATAATAATAGAAATTATTACCGCAGGTTCTCCCGAAATATCCACATAATTGGCACCATTTTCCACAGCAGCTTTAACAACTGCTTCACCATAAAGACGATACTAAATAAAAATGTAATTTTGTAAACGAGACTAAATTAAAAAATACATTGATCACTAAGCTAAATAATTATATCTTCAAATGACAACTTTTACATAGAAAATTCAAATATATCAAGAAACAAAAACTTTGCAGTTTGAATGAAAATAAAATCCATTGGCTATGAAAAAATCATACGGGGCCAACTACGTTAATGATGACTTTTGCCTGTTGTGCCATTAATGCTAACGTTGATTCGTCATAGCTATTAGCAATTATTATGGGAATATTTTGCAGATTCTTGCCTGAAAATCTTTCCAATAAATTATCTCTTTTGTTTTCATCTTTTTGTGAAGGAAACAAATTTCTTCAAATAAATAGAGTTCAAACTGATCATGAATTAAGTTAATGACCGCAATTGCATATAACGATAAACAAATCACATGAATTTCAGAGAAAACTAAAATTTTTTAAAAGACCATCTAAGTAGCTTACCCATTTCTTGACCAGTACTTTCAAGTAACTTCTTCAGTCTTAAATCACTTCGACCTGCGATTGCAAAAGTGATATTTTGCTGTTCTTGTTCTTGCACCAGCAATTTGAGTACATATCCTCCAGTGAATCCGCTTGCGCCGTACAATACAATATCATAACGTGACATTCTTTAATATACCTTGAAGAAAAAACTAATTGCAAATAGCATTTGCACAGAATGAATTAGATTCAACATTACGAGAGAACTTTAAACAACCGCAATGGCCTTATCAATATATTGCCGAAAATTTGTTATCAGCAAAAAATGATATTCTTTAAAGAGGAGACTAAAGTTTAAGGTCCTTCCAGGCAGGTTTTTCATTTTAACACACTAATTAGTCTATGACCTCGGAGAGCAAGAAACACACTCCACACTGCTACAGACAGCCGAAAACTGAATATGATGCAAGAAATTGGGAGATAAGCTATTCACCAGCCAAACAAACAGAATGATTATGCAAATTACAAACAATCAATGTACTACGCTGTCTTCAATTTGCGTATGGACTAATTAAGGAATGTGGAAGTACCAAAGTGAAAATATTTGTACCAATGCCTTGACTGCATTTCCTGCCAGTGCATTCGCTGCTCTCCTCCTACTCATCACTTAGAAATGTTTGCGAGTAGTTATCATCAGCTCTCTATCAAAGCTGAATGAACAAGTGTGCAACCGTGTATACTCGCATCCAGCACAGCGAGAACTCTATGCTAAGCACTTTTCTCGTTAAGGAACTACATATCATCCACATTTGCAGCTAGGAGGTGCTTGATGAAGTAACAGCTCCACATTAGACTCAAACAAACATTACGGGCATTCTACAACTCCTGATCAGCCAGAATTTAATGTACACAGAGCAGCGATGAAGCACAGAAACCAGACGTAGTACGGACCAGATAATGAAGTCAGGTTAACTGACGTCTGTTTTGCTCATGTCAAATTTCTCATGACGAAAAATCGTGCAACTAAGGAAAACAAATTTGTAACAATTGCTTCAGTAATGAGACTCACCTCGTAAACGTAAACCTTTCCACACAACAAACACTAACAATAATATAAACTTTGTAGTCCCATTATTGTGAGTAGTAATCTTCAAACTCATTAAGTTATTGTCTACCGAGGTTTCAATAATACACCACGCGCACGTGTAACCTCAAAGTTGGAAAAAAATCTTTTAGACTCCAAACCCCCATTACTCAGCAACGTCAATATTGAGCGCGCAAGAGCAGACGTACTCAGAAATTAATGCAAATGTTTACTACATCATAATATAGTGAATGCGACACATGTAAGAAATTAGCTTCTTAATACAACTGCGTCAACTTTTATTCCTCTTGAAAATGAAAACATTAAGAAAATGGTATGTATGTATGAACAAATGAATCACATTCAAGCCTTACAGCATTTCAATCCATCAATAATAATAATGATAATAATAATAATAAATATAATGATAGTCATAATAATAATAATAATAATGATAATAATAATAATAATAATAATAGATCCTTGTCGAATTGGAATTTATTCGAGGTTAAACAAATAGCTGCACACTTTGGCACAGCGGAAAAGACTTGAGTGTCCATTGAATGTACAATAGGAAGAGTAAATAATCGATCAGTAATCAACCAATCATTCAACCATTCATTACATTCCAGCTATAATATTAGCAACATACTACTGTGAATTAAATATCAAATAATAAAAGCATTTTGATACAAATTAAATTACTTACAATTTAATACAGCATTACTTATACATGAAGCGGTGTTGCTGACAGCATTGGAAATATGAACACAAGAGGAGGAGAACATCTACGATTGCAGTAGAAGAAAAAGGATATAAATGAGGGCATGCTAGATAAGAGAGAATAATAGAGAAAACCGGATTAAAAAGAATAAGGAGGTCATTCAGGAGTTCAATTACTTCGTCCAATTGCATTGAATTAAGGAAACAATTTTGGCCGCCACACACCTCAACTAATTATTTCCACACATACATGAACAAGTAGTTTAGAATAAGCTTGAGGCTGTACAAATATCTCTGCAGTATGTGCAAAACTTGCCTTGACATTTGAACAAACAGCTGGGAGTGCGGCCGTAAATAATACGTGAATAAAGAGGGATAAAAAGAAGGAAGAGAGCACTGAGAAATTCTAAGTAACAATGAGAAGGCCGCGGACAATCTTCCCCGTCTATTACAATTCTACTATTATACATACATAGATAATGCAGGCTTACAGAGTGCGGAAAGGATGGCAAACTATTTTACATTTTCCTTTTCTAATCTATGCAATGAATTAAAATGCTGTTTCTGAATACTTGCCAACGTGTACAATGAAGGCCTTGACAGAATCAAACAGTCGAAAATGAAAAAGAATAGAGCACTTGAGGAGGGAATAAGCAAAGAGATGGAAGGAAACAGCAGAAACCCGCATTTAAGCTAGTATACGTGAGAAGTGCATATGCATGCTTTTGGTCCATTCATGCCTAACAATAAAACGCGAAGACTCGATAAAAACTACCAATACATAATGATATAATAAAAGCTAACAGACAGCTCTCTTCTCTATAAAAATGCATAACGCTTTCTATCAATACACCAAGAAATATATATACGTATATATACACTGATAAAATAAATTGACATGCACGTTGTATCATAGCATACTATACACACAAACATTATCCTCCTGCAAAAAGATATCCGAATATCTCGTAACGTCTCTCCAGTGACAACCAATAAAAACTGTTCACTTGAGTTCAAGTTAATGTAAAATAGCAAACCACAAAAAACTACATCTGCTACATGACATGTAATGCAGGAGGACAAGTGTATCTAGAAAATATATCATAGCGTGATGCAGCATAACTCACAGTAGATGCAAGAGAGAGGACAGTGATACAAACAGTAACATCAATACCAATGTATAATAAAGCTGCACCACCAAATGACTCGTTTCATAGATATGATATATACATACACAAACAAATTCAACACATTAATCCCAACATTATATGGTCACAATTGGAAAAGTGAGAATTCAGAAAGACAAATATACAAATTTCCTTTTGTAATCAATGCAGTGAACCACGTCTCGACAGTGCATGAAATGCAGATAGAGAATAACAAAGCTATAAGAAAACACGATGGAAATAGAAAATTCCAAAGTATGATGCAATAACCAAGTGATACACCACATTAATAAGCACTACATATTACTACTTGAAAGAATATTATATCCCAGTGAAATTTACTGTAGGCAAAGAACACGAAAACATCTAACTCGTAGCTTAACACGAGCAAAACTCAGTATCTGCAGCTCCGTACGTATCACACGCTGACCGGCTAACAAGTTCTGGCCGCTGCTTATTCTTTTTCAGACAAGCAAAATGCTTTTAAATGCTGAACGCACCTTGAATTTACTTTAATATTTCAAACGCAAGAAGTAAATGAAGTGACAGGTATGTACAACTTCCCTTAAGTCAGCGTGTAGGAGTTCCCTCTGCCACAATAACTTCTCACATTTTCGACTCTGCGTGGAATGGACATAAAGGATAACAAATTGCACGAAAAATGAGACGGTAATTAGACTGGAACAAAAGCGATGCAATATTCTGCCAAAAAAATTTTTCAATAAAACAAAAGTTAAAGAGAGGTGCAAAAATGCTTTCCTGTACTAAAGATGCAATAAAACCCCACCCACCAAACAAAATATGATATAAGAAGCCAAAAAGACAAAACATTTTGGCCGACGGTATCACTGTACAACCAGCTCGTTAGCCTTTTGTTCCGTCTTTTAACCATAAAGACTGCTGCCCACAGGCTCATTCACTGTATTCAGATGAAAGAGAAACACCAACCCATAATGAATATCTACTGAGAAAATAACAAAACATTATGCACAAAATGTGGGAACAGATTGAAATTTAGCTCTGATGCTGACAAGAAATTAAATGAAAATGAGTGAGATGCATTTTGGCAGATAATTTCCAACAAAACAAGAGCCCAGTGCTGGGAGAAAGAAAATGAAACTAGTATGCAATAAGAAAAACATGCAAGTCGAAGCATCGGTGTACAGCGGTGTGTTGTCTATGTATCGAACAAGACTAAGAAGATCATGTAAGTGAAAATAAAATTCTTTTACCAAGAAAGGACAAGTGCGTTCGTCAGTTCAATGGTTTCCGCAGTAAACTTAACTTAGTTCGCCTTTCATACCGATTTTTCGAACGAGATCTTATGTACCTGCAAGTCAATATACAACAGCAAAGATGCAGCGAATGGGGAATAAAGTGACGACACAAATCATGTTAGCAAAAAAATTACAAATAAATACAATGGACGGCAAAGACTCCAGTGGATGAAACAGCGAAATGAGCTCCTTAAGCTTCCCAAAACTGACAATCATTTATAAATTTTTAAAAAAGGACTTTACGGAATACCCTCCACTAATTACATGCAAAATAATCGACAACTATAACTTCATGCTTGAGAAACCACTTGACTGTTTAAATGATATGCAGGCAAACGGAACATATTCATGATTTCTGCTTGAGTGAGATTGCAGTTTGTTAAAGGATTATAATTTTCGTCCTCCCAAGCACCTAACATTCCCAAATAATCGTCAATAAATGCAGACGAATCTGCTGACTCCAAGCTGCTGCTCCAAATACTTCCGGAATTAAATAACCCATTACTGTTCGTCAAGCTATTCATTTCTTCATCAGAATTACTGGAATCCTGAAATTTTCCAAAAATAATTCACTGGAGTGAAGGTGGGCAAATCTATTTTCTGCACATTGATCCTAAAAATTAGATAAGATTAGCGATTTAGATAAGATGGAAAAGCTGCAAAAAAAGTGTTATCAAACTTCAGCATTAATTTTCATGATTTTAAGAAGCAATTCGAGAAATAGCAGTCGATTGCGCTGATCAGACTACGGATGGAATTCGCAATCACAAGTCAATTAGAATGCTACATATTACCGTTACCGTGATCAATTTTTTGATTGCTGTCAAACACATTTCTAGTGTCAACAAATAAACAATAATACCTTTACTGGATAAACCTTATTACTAAAAAATAGAACAAGAAAGTAGCTTTTGTTTCTTTATTTTTATTTTTTTTAAAATACAAAATATTACTACAGAAATTTTTCATATAAGTAAAATTGTTTAAGACTATTTTCTTCCGAAGTTTTCCCAGCGAAACAAAAATTTTCCTAGTGTATCAAAGTCGTTACATTTTCCACCAAAAAGGTTCATGAAGTGCACATGAACAATATTCACCTGCAATGTATCATCAGTTGTCTCTATCAATGTTCCCCAAGGCCATCCATAATCCCAGCATGTGATATCAGTGTTGATCACTTCAAAGTTGAGATCTTCACGATGTTTTTCCTGAGCACCTTGTACAACTTCATCAGCTTCCAACATATCCACATCAGAAGCGCTTACTTCATTTCCTCTCTCTATCAGACTGTCACACACAAAAACATTGCACGTTTCAAGATCTCGCTGCAGTTATGGACAATGATATATTTGGATTAATTGTGTTTCTTGGAAAAAATTTGGATAAAGAAGAAAAATAAATCCTGAAAAGATGTTCGCATGCATTCCCTACAATGCGCTCAAAACTCTTTTCTAGTATTCCAGAACACTTTTCTATCACTTAACGTCTATACAATGATTAATTTTCTCTCACATCCAAGTATTTTCGAAACAACAATCAAACAGAAAGTTTTTCCAAAAGAGATATTTATAGTTGCAAATTAATCCTTATGGGATTTCTTGCGTATGCGCAAACAACAATAACGCATATTGAGAGTAAGAAGAAACCTGCAGAGATTTCATTGTATTGTAAATGAGAAGTGACTTGCGCAGCGATACAGCAACGTTCGAAGCGTTCATCGTCTGAATTTTAGAGATGGAAAGATCAAGCATCGCTCGTCGACGTTCGTTAATCAATGATGTAGTTAAGCTAAAGATACTATGAAAGTTGCAAAAAGATGAAATATAAATAAATTAGACTGATCAACTTTCATATAACTTTTTTTTGGAGTTAAAATTTCACAAATACATAAAATTATGACAAAAAATGAACAACATAAGACAAAAAGGAAAGGAAACCTGGTATCAATAATTGACGATGAATTGGAGTACATGGATGAGTTGCTCGAGTAACTGACATCCTCCGGACCCATTCCTGCTTCAGCCTCATCCAGACTGCAATGAAACACCACTTTCATAATCAACGTTTCAAATTTCTAAGTCTATGGAATTTAAGTTATAAAAAGGAGTTTCAAATTTTTAGAATGACAAAATTTTTGTTATATTAAACCTCAATATGAGAAATAATTATTAAATAACGAACTGCAATTGTGCCCCCAGTTTGATAGCTGCGTGTGGACAGCTGATGGCAGAAGAGTTGTTCATGTTATGATTAGATAAAAGTACCGAGTCCATAAATGCACTCTTATCGTTTCCTGAGGCTTTTGGGATGATAGAAGTAGCAGATGACAACCGATGCAGTAAATTATGAGGTTGTTGCTCATTTAAGGAGGATGTATAGTTTGATGCTGAAGGTGCAACTAACAGAACCATTTTTTTACAGTGAATAAAATGAGTAACAGTACAAGACTGCCCGTCCGTCTATACAAATCTGAAAATAGCTCAAAGATGCAATAATCAAAGTTTAGAGAATAGATGATTACGATGCAAACGTTTAACGTTAAGATTACAACAAATGCAAATGAATGAAGTAGTTTCGAGCAATCTATCTCTACTTCGAAACAAATGAGAAAGCAAAATTATTTATTTGTGCTCTTCGTTTTGAGAGATTAAAAATTATTCACTCAAAGACACGAAAGTTGTAAATATTTTCAATTCATTATCAATACAGTACAGTAACATGAATTAAACACCCTGCGAGGTCACTTCGCAAATTTCTTCCACCTCATAAATTGCTGACAGAATCTTACAATTAAGTGTGTGTCTAACTGCTTGTTGACAAATACACAGTACTTTGCCTACCTCCCAATACGTACCCTCACGTTTCACATTTTTATCAAAGAAACAAAATTGGGATGAAAAATTGATGCATTCAATTGGCAACTGAGCAAACACTTTCGTGCACAAAGCAAAAGTCAAAGCAAAAATAGCACCAAAGCAGTGCGGTGCAAAGGGAAAACGAAGAAAGCACTCACTCAACCGTAGCTACTGGTTGGTTTGTTTCCTTTGCAAACGCATTTGAGTGAACCGAAGGAACGCATCAGTCAGTTTTTCTCTTCTTCACTTACTTTTTCCTCCCACCTATTTTTCTATTCATTTTTCCTTCACATACATACATCTCAATAAATAGTGTTGATAATTATGACAATAATAAATGCACTAATAATAATGACAATAATAATAATATATCTAACTCAACCCAGCACAAAAGTTAATGATTATGCTTGTAACTGATGAAAATACACAGGAAAAAAAATAAGATCTCATTAATAATACAGCACACAGATACACAGACAACAAGTTGTCGTTGATAAGAGAAATGACTTCTCACAACAAATATCATTTCACGACAAACAACACAAATTTTGGCTCCGACCGCCACTCACTGGTGATGATGGTAATGGCGATGATGAGGATGATGGTGATGATGATGATGATGACGGTAATAATGATGTTGGCAATGACAACAACTCAACATAAATGCGTATGGAACGAACTGCTCTTCTTCTCATTCCTTTTCTGACTACTCATCAATTCAAGCAAATTTCTACATTTAACTTAAAACTATTATTACTGCCATCACCACAACCACCACTAATAATACCATAACCACTACTAGAATTACTACTTGGGCTGCTAAATAATATTGATACCACTTCACTACTTCTCCTGCCACTCCCTTTCATCGCTGAGTTAGTTTGTTTACATCAATTCAAGTCTATATCCCTCCTCACTGAGGCGTACATCTCAGAAATTAATCGATTTCTAGAATAAAATAAGAAGCATAATGACTAAATTTGCCTCCACCAATGAGCGGTAATTAGTATGGATATATGATAGATAGTCGAAGCACACACCTACGTCATTCTCGACAATTCTACTCGGGTTGACGTAAACAAAGAGAGCCACAGAATGACAGAAACAAAACAAAAACAAAAAGGGAATAACAAGCGTAAGCACTAAATTCGACTACTCCATCCACATTACTTGGCTAAACGCCGTCAGCTTGAGCAAAACTGATCACCTCTGCCAGTACTGCCAAATCATCACTGCAATAAACATCTCATGAGCAAGTACTACCAAGCAATATTACCAAGCAATATTCACGACTGCCTGACTTATGACTATTTACTAAAATATCAATATAACACACCACAGATCACATCAACCCACACCAGAGGAGAAAAGAAAAACCTAACACGCTATCTATTGCCCTATAAAAGTTGTGAGTTGCAGTTTGTGAGAAGAGGCAAAAACGATGGTAATATTCGACCGATATGCAAATTTCACCGCATTGAAAATAGGACAGACGTGAGCGATCTCTGAAGGGAAGAGCAACAATCGTGCTGGCAATGAGGTAGGCAGAGAAATAGGCATTTGAAGAACTGACGACTATTCTGCTAATTGAACAGTGCCTGCAAGTGACGTGAATCACGCAAACATGAGTCTTAGGACTGTCTTCAGTTTCTTCTTCCTTCTTCATCTCTATGATATCAGTAAGCAAATGAATGTCGACTGAATATCGAGTTTCAAATTTGGATTGTGTACTATCTTTAAACAATTTCTCGAGATCGTAGCTATTGAAATTTTGTTTTTTACCACAAAATTGGTTTCTTTCATTGACGTAAAAGTGCATCTTGATCCTCGCAATACAGTACAAACTGTATTGCGACTAATGGAATGAGCATGCTGACAGACATGATGCAGACTTATTTTATAGTTTCATAGGCTCAGAGTTTTCAAATTCAAAGTCTCCCATTCTGATAGTAATTGACGTCCTTTAATTTTTATGCAGTGTCAGCACTTCCACACAAAATATGTGTAAGATGAACTATGTGTAAGGTGGGTAACGTCAGTCATAGCAATTTTATTTGGATTAGTACACATTACTTGCGCTTTACCTCGCGAATAGATGAGTAAACACGCAAGGCCCTCCTGTTTTTCGTTCTGCCCACTGTGGCCTAATACTACTGAGACTTCTTGTTCATCGACTCTGGGACGTAGCTTACGCCTGTATCGATCCCCTTCCTCTAGCCTTGCCTTATATATTCACTCACATATCCAAGGCCAGTTGGCAGTCTTTATTATCGGTTGCACATACTACTTACCTACCTACCACTCGCGGTTTCTCAATGCATATCTAACTGCCACACTTCACACCCTTCTTTACCATATTCCACCTTGACTGCTCTTTTGACCGTTGCAGCTGACACTAAACATTTCATGGATATTGCATGACCTTTGCACCTAATTCTGACCTGTTTCAAAATAATTATGTGATGGGATGACAGAATGTATATTTTTTAAATAGTTTCACTGAACAAAAACTCTAGCAAAGTTAGAATTGGAATCACAAGACCACTCAACTAATTTAATCAATTACATATTTTACAGAAGGTACGAACAACAAAACAGCTGAGGAAAGAAGATGGCTTCAAAAACGTTTTCTCTGACGATCACTGCTGATTCACGAGAATTCCCGTACGAGAAGCGCTATCCTTCATCGATGACTCTTCGTGAACTGAAAGTAGTTTTTTTTTCCTTTGCATTTATATACTCTATGTTTTCTAAGTATAACATTGACTATAGTTGAAGCTGCATATGAATTTGACAATTTGTAGTTTTGAACTCCGTCATATTTCAAGTATTTTATGTTATGAAACACTTCTTGTTTGACGTTGCTATCTTTTTAAATTCATTTTGTAAGATGGCTGTTTTTATTGTTATTGAATTCTATTCAGAATAATATCAGTTGTGTCAGGGAATCATATCGAGGCAGGACTTATCAAGTTGTGCTTTCAGGAAAAATTGGAATTAGTAGTTGGAATTTCATTCAAACATATAAAAGCAGATTTGCTCGACAAACATGGCAAATTTATATCATCCCTAACTGATGATAAAGCCACTTTGGAAAAATTAGGATTAGCAGATGGTATTTTGAATAATTTAATCGCATCCATTTATATGGACGTCTTGCTTGACACTAACAGTCATCTTTCAGTTCTGAAAGGCTGAAAAAATGAATTTTGATTCGATGACTTGGAAACTACCGGTAATTCATTTTCAGAAATGAAAATCCATGTTTCGGATATTTCTGGTGGTGAGGAGATCAGTTATGAAAATATCGCAGGAGTTGAAAAGTATACAATACCTGAAGATAAGTACAATGAACGAGAGGGCAAGTTCTTTTACACAAAAACCATTTAAAACTAGTATTCATGTGTTGTTCAGTGAGTCAGTTTTCTGCTTTATTTAGATTCGGTTCGTGCATGGAAACGAAAAGAAGGCGCAAAAATTATTAATGATGCTATGACTGCTACCAAAATTGAAGCACAACAGTTTAAGGTTGCTTTTTTATTGCTTCGACATTAAAAAATAAAGGTTAGTCTATGCACAAATGATTTGTAGTCCTCTGTGATGTCTACTCTTTTCTTTAGAAATGCTTTATTGTGTAGTAAAAATTGTGTCAATAATTTTTGTTTAACTTATATCTTACATTTTAAATTTTGTTATAACATAATAATTTTTCATTTTCTATATACTGAATTTTAATGCAGCATAATAAATACATTTTTTATATGCTTGAATTTTTATGCAGCATGATAAATGTGCTTGAAATGATAGTTCATAAATTGTAGGCTGTTATGTCAGTGAAATTGAACTTATAAATATTTTTTTAGCATTCTGAATAGTAAAGATTCTTTTGTTAAGGTGGATGATAAAAGATAAGATGGACTTTCCATCTGAATATGTAAATGAAGATGATGAGGATGATGACAAAGGTTAGTAAATTAAGATTGGAGATCGCTGTATTGTACGATTATCGAATCAGAAGGAAAAGAGAGGTGTTGTATCATATATTGGATTGACCAAATTCAAACCTGGACATTGGATTGGCGTCACTTACGATGCACCTATTGGGAAACACGACGGTAGTGTTGACGGTGAAAGGTTTGTGCTTCATTTTTCTGTTAGAATTTGTAGTCCCTGAATTTTGAATTTTTCCATTCTCAACACTGATTTGTTCGCTATTTATTAGTTCCTTTCAATTGTTTCTTGTAGTTTGAGAATAAATCATCTTTATTTGACGTTAGAATGCTCAGCGAATAACATATAAATTTTTGTAATAAAAATTTCTAAATAATGGTCGTGCAACAATGATTTTTACTTTCAGTATAAACAAACTGCGTAAATATCTATAGACATATAACTGTAACAAGTTCGTCTTATAAATTGCAAACAAACTTCAAAAATAGCACTTTGTTTGGAATTCATGAATCTCTTAGGAATCATTTTACATAAGAATATAAGATTTTTGTTATCTTAATATAGAATATTTCGGTCACAATTATATATCTGCAGATACTTTACATGCGAAGACAAACATGGAGCATTTGTTCGACCTCGTGAAGTGAGATTTGAGAATGAAGAAATGGAAGAAATCTGAAACTTCGTGTAGAATTGCACTGCTCTCTTTACTCATGTAAGTATATAACTTCTGAGTCGATGATATGAAACGACTGAGCTGTGTTTACTCTGCATTATTTTCTCCATTTTCGAAATTAATATGGAACTTATTGTCCTGATGGTAAAACGTGAATTATTTAAGGCTGCCATCAAAACGCTCGCAAAATCTCTTATGCACTTCAAAGGTCACGCTCATTCAACGCTAATATCATTTAATGCAACTATTGATCTATGTCTGCTTCATGTTGCTATTTAAATGCAAGTTAAGTCTAAAAGAACATAACTTGTCTTTTGGAATATCATTCTTGAAATGATGTATACTACTTTAATAAATCATTCACTTTCGCTTGTTTTTACGTTTATGTTGTTACTACGCGTGCAATAAAATTTATCTGTATACTTTTTGCTTTGCTCTGAAAAGCATAGAATAGAATGACTGAATGTTTAGAAATGCTAAATATTTTTTTATTTTACTTTGGTATGAGCTATCCATCTCGTCTTCAGTATTTTGCTTTCTATGATGGCAGTAAGTAGTTGACATCAAAAAAAGTGGCAGTACAAAATAATTGAAAGAGTTAAGATATATGCGCACCATACTAGCAAATCGTGTAGTGTAAAACTGCAACAGCATTAACTTCTTAATTTAAGATTATTCGATGGCTTTTCATCAAATGTTTCTTTATCAGGAATAAAAATAAACTGGAAAATATGCAGGAGAGAGTCATGTATGGCCACTTTCGTAGATTCGTAGATTTTAGGGAAAAAGCAGAAAGCATGCGAAACGAGTCTCATAATGACATTCTCCTGGTTGGGCGAAGTAAACTGCAAATTCTGTATAATTTCGATAGGGAAGAAAGGAACTAAATCCTGATAAGAAAGAAGAGATTAGCGTTACAGATGCAAGATCTGAAGTACTAACGTCCTGTAACGATAAGAAATTGAGCGCATATACTTTTGCACTGCAATGGAAGTGACATATATGAGACTCATCGAAAATAACCAGGAATTAGATCGTAAGAATCCTCGAGTAAGCGGATGAATGACTCTATAGTTTTATGTTATTATACAAGCTAGAAGTCTGGGGATCCGGTTTTCAAATTAACCCCACAACTGCAATAATAGACAACTGAGATAAATAAGTAAGCTTATTGGTATAACATGAACACCATTTGCGATGCGTGAAATTTAGAGGAAGAAATATGTAGAACTCCTTGAGTAGTAAATATTTATAGTAGAAAAAACAACCACGTGTTATTCATCTCAGACTCTACATAAGAACTATTCATTTTCATTAAAAATTCGAAAAAAGCGATATTTACGGCCTAGATTTAATGTCAGTGACAAATTAGAATCATCTGTGAACCATCATTTCTCACAAAAGTTTCATTAAGCGTTTAATACAGTTTGAGAGCAGAGCAAAATAATGTTATGTCTATTTTATTTCCATATTCTGACTTTCGGAAATATCTCTGTGAACTCCGGAATTCATCACTTGTGTTAAAAACCAAAAGTTCATTAAATAAGCTAATTTATTGAATGTAGTTAAATATTGAAAAGGATGGAAGAAAAGGACTTTTCAAGCGTTTAATTCCGTCCGACTTGATTTTCTTTATTAGTTAGTGGTACGTAAATAACACCCATGAGATCAACCACACTAACTTTACCCGAATCATCCTTGTCAACTTGAAGAAAGCGTTGGTCACAATGTGGTGCACCAACCGGGATCAACATGCGTCCTCCAGGTGCTAACTGATTCACTAGCTGCAACATTTTATACAGAACAAAACGAATGAATGTTGCATAGTAAGTACATGTAGATTATTGATATATCCGACTTAATATTCAAATATGAAACAACCTCATCTGGAACATTTGGTGCAGCAGCGCCAACATGAATTGCTTTGTAAGGAGCATATTGTGGAAAACCATTGCGTCCATCACTCTCAACTAATACCACTCTTCCATCCAGCAGATCGCCGTGGTTTTTCTTGATGTTGTTAATTGACAGATCTACTAGCTGTTTGATGTGTTCTACTCCAACAACTTTACCAGTAACTCCAACCTAGTGGGAAACTTGCTGCTTAATGATATAGATTTGATTTATAATTTTCCCTACCTTGGATAAACAACTAATATTTAGGAAAATTAAAGAATTAAAATAGTAGCTTTGATATATTATAAAAATAAATCAACCGTCTGTATTAAAAATGGTATAAATTCGAATCAGAAGGAAACTGAAAGAATGAAATGATAATATATCTATGCTAATTAACTATCACCATATATGCCATGCATGTAGTAAGATAACCAGAACCAGAACCAATGTCAAGGGCTTTATCACCCTCCTTCAAGTGATTTTTTAGTCGTTCCAGTGCAGCTGCATGCTGAAATATATTTTAAAATTAGAAGCCTTACTACATAGTATACGAAGTATTTAAGCATAATACAGCCCCCCTAAAATTTGTAAGATACAGACAGAAAGTGATTTTCCCATTACGCACTACCCATTATCGACATTCACCAAATTCACTAAAAATTTCACCAAACCAAAAATCTACCAGAACTGTGCTCATTTTAAATCGCGAGACCAGTTTTTTAATCTTGCAAATACTGATACCGTATTCCTTTGATTATTATCTTATGCAAACCACTTTGTTACGGCTCATATACTTTGACAGAAGTAACAAAAGTAACCATATGTGGAGCACTGATTGTCGCATTACAACCGATTGGTTCTGGACTATCCATATATGGATTCCTCGTGCAGAAATCCGCTCGGTCAACTCTCAACATAGTCATCCTTACTCGTTCATCTTCTATCAAGCCATTGTCTGTAAAACCTGTTTTGTATCAAGAGAGACCCTCATTATTTCCTTTGTACCCTAACTCAACCACCTTTTATTTACTAATCCCAAACTTATTATTTCCTCCAATGCACTTCCGAGTAAAATTAAGGTAATAACACTACCTCCCTTTACAAATCTTGTTTTAGAAAATGAAGCCACAAAGAGGTAAAAAATTATAAGGCTGATCGATGAATTCAATACATCTTATTTCGCCCAATTAAATTTATGTAGAAACCAGTAGTAATAAGAAACTAACTCGTTAAATTCTCCACTAGCGAGACGTTAGAACTCCCATGTGAACGCCACGCCATATTTATTGTGACAACAACGTAGCTGAACAGTAACAATTCAATGTCCGTCCTTCATAAATTCACTTACAATAAAGCTATAATTAGCATTCTCCACAACCTACCAATCCTCATGACTTACGTCTCATTGGGATTCAACTCATGAAAATCATGGCTATTTAATCATTTACACACCTAATACTTTGGTGTTAGCCTGCATCACGCCATTTATTTACTAAATTAATTAAATGCGTACTGACCACAGATAAATACTCTGCATGGTAGCACACAGATCATTCAAATGAACGAACTCATTATATATGCTTTTCTATTTGACAGGTCATCAGTTTTTTGCAAATGTAAAAATGTTAAACAGAAGACTGAAAATTTATAATCTTCTAATCAACGTTATATGCAAAGGAACCATTATTGAAGAACAGTAAAATTTTTTCGACAAACATTTAAGCTTTCATGAAGTCATTTATCAGTACATCATCTCACCATTAAGAAGTCAGTATAACAGAAAGAAGTGAATAAAGCTGAATGGTAAATATCAAAAGAAAAGAAAGAGTGATAGGTGGATTTATAAGGCTAAAAGGAGAAAAATGAAAAAAATGATTGAAAGGATTACGGAACAACATGACAACTGATAAGAAAGGCAAATTTATGATCAATGTGTTGAGATTTTTTACATTACAATGATCATTTTCTTGTAGATAACTGACTTTTTATAGAAGTAAAACTGAGCTGTACATAAATTTCATGACAAAAATATAGCTGATCTGGTGGTAAGTGAAATCAAATACAATCCCAAATGAGTCATTTACAATGAGCAGAATGTTTACAATTTACTGGTAAACACTGATTACGGTAATTCGAAACGTTTTAATTGATCTTGTTTATCAGTGAGAGGTACAAAAATAACTCCAAATAATTTTTTAACTTTGATATTACCGGTCAAACTTTTGTCCACTTGAATAAGATGCTGATCTTCAAGAAGGTCACCCATTGGAATTATCATACGTCCGCCCAATGCAAGTTGATCTACTAGCTGAAATTTCTTTAAATTCTCGAATCTTTCCAATGTTATGACAGCTAAAACTTATGAAAGAGTTTAGTGTCTGCTTATTCGTGCAATTATTTTCCAATTTCAGCCACGACTGAAAAATAACCGGATGAGTGAAAAACATGACGCCGGACTCTAGTCAGCTTCATTTGACAAACTTGCCTACCTCATCAGGGAGTTCTGTCGCAAATGCACCAACGTGAATAGCCTTGTATGGAGCACCTTGCCTGTATCCATTCCGACCATCCCCAGCAACTAATGTTATTCTGCCACTTGTCAGAAGACAGCCATGATGTTTACTTATGTTATTTTTTGACAAATCTACGAGTTCTCCAATGTGATCAATGCCAACTACTCTACCTTTTTGACCAACCTGAATCTTGTATAATATAAAGAGACAAAGAAAAAAAAGAAAAGACTTATGAATCTTTTTTTAATGTGCTTGAAATCAAAAAGCAACCTGAAAGTTTTGTGAGAAAACTTAAAAAATTTATTTTTAGTATATTTTAACTCGGAAGATATATATCGCATACCATAAGTGCCATGCAAGTTGTTAAATACCCTGAACCAGAACCAACATCTAATGCCACATCACCATCATTCAAATGATCCTTCAGTAGTTCCAGCACCAAAGCATGCTGAAAATGCACAAAAGTTTGAATCATAGTGTTAGTTTTCCCAAATATACTGATTACTACAGAACTGCTTCACAAAATTAGAAAAAAAAAAGTATTGTAAAGCAAAGTTGAAAATCACGACTGTTGGATGTTTGTTTTCAGAAAGGAAGTACGATATGTATACTTTTTTTCTGAATTGGTCAAAACTGAAAATTTTAAGTTTTATATCTAGTGAACAGAAACACATATGACCAATAAAAATTTACAATATGAGGAGCACTAATGGTGGCATTGTATCCAATTTCTCGCGGAGAATCTTCATATGGTTCTTTTAAGCAATAGTCAGCTCGATCAACACTCAACATGACATTCTCAACTCTCTTGTCCTTAATAACTTTTATTCCTGTAAGCAAGATGAAAAATAAAATCAATTAATCAAGACAAACGTTCAACATTAAATAGCTACCCAGCGCCATACCAATCTTTCAATAAAGATTTGAAGAAATCAAATTTGTAAGAATTCCGAATTTTTAATGACAAGTTATGTAATCTCTAAAAAAGCAATATAGTCAAGAATACTAAACGTTATGAAAATAACGATCAAAAAATTTCATTACTTTTTCCATCTTCTAATGGCTAATAAATAATATCTTAGTTCCGTCAAGTCTACCCATTTAATATAATTAACAACTCGCAGGAATTACCTTTTAAATATTTTATAAGCGTTTCATTTGATGCGTTTCGCGATGTACTTTGTGAAATCGACATTTTTGGCCACTTTTTTAGCAAATCATTTCCAATCTCTAAAGCTTTCGACGTAGTAAACTGAAAATATTAATTTGATGAGTAACAGTTTACAAGATCTAAAAAGCGCCAAATTCATGGAATCTTGTATAATGATACGACGATAGTCAATTTTTTTACCACAGAAACAATGCTTCCTTGATAAATTTAGGAACCAATTCTAATGAGAGAAACTGGTAATATATTTAGTATCGATAACAATACTAACAGTATGTTTCATGAAAAGAACGACTAGCAGTAAACTGAAGCAAACAAATCACGCAGAACTAATTAGATGTCAAGATCTTCTCTAAGGGAACCAAGTAAAAGGACTTACTATAAACAGAGTGACAGATGTTGTTTTTTATTTTACGCGACACGAAGTTGATGGCAGCTTCATAACATAATACAAAAAGCTGCCATTTCAGTCCAGACAACAAGTGATACTTTTCCATGATTGATCGGTAGAAAGAGTTCACACCAAAAATAAGGCATTTTTCGATATTAATTTGAAATACAAACTTGATCAGAAATATTATGTCAGCCATTTTTCAATGTGAATGAAGACAGAATAACAAACAAGAAGTTGATGACAAAGAAACACGAACTGTAATTTCAAGAATATATTTGAAATTTCTATCAATTTGAAAATAATGAAAACAGAAATTATCACAGCAATCAGTTGTTAGAGCGGACAGATCGCAATAATCCAGGATATAGTAAATGAAAAAATAAGACGAGATGCGAAGTTTGTTTCAAACTTTTAGTGAATGAAATAGATGAAATAAAAATAGCTCGAAATGAGGTAGAGTATTTGAAATTATATGACGGGAAATATAACTTTGAATCCGAAATGTAAGAAAGGCAAATAACTTGATGCAGCATGAATATATACACAGAGTGCACGTGACTGCCCTTGAAGATCATATGCGCATATTTGTTTCTCAATCAGAGACTTGTACATTCTGAAAGTGATAATATGCGTTACTATGCCTCTTGTAAACGGGGTACTGCACGAGAGAACTCTGTGTTACTACATTCTTGTCTCAATATGAAATTATTTTCTTCCCAGAGAGATCACATCTTGTACAGACCACGAATTCACTTACAACTATTTCAGTGAGTGGTTGTATGGGTAGACATTGACTTTGTCATAATGTAATTTTCCGGTAATTTCCTCTACACTTTCACATAAAATCTCTCAGTTCCATATAACTCTCGGTTTGATACTGTAGTTTACTCAGCTCGAATATGTTACTTCTTGCTGTCGGTGGTGTTACACACAGATCGTGAGAGGAATGTTATCATGAGCACTGTGACAAGGACGCATTATTTTCTGATTTATAATTTTCATTCATCAACATAACAATACAGAAGATATGTCCAACCGAAAATGCAAATTTACACTTGCACAATGAAATAATTTTCACAATTCCATTCAATTCTGAATCCTTCACCGTTGTTTTGCAAGTCATCGTCACAGTAGAATTCAAGGAGAATAGAAGTACCTGGTTCTATAGGAATTTCCTTAGGCAAAGATATCTGCAAATCAAGATATTACTTGAATTACTGGAATCCAGAGCAATGTTAAGTACAAATCAATATAAGTCCACTTTCGTGATTAACATAAAAATAAATTTTAGTATGCGAAAATTTCCAAGCTTTCGTCTACACCTCAATAGGAAGTGAAAGCGTATAGTCATATCTGTTTCTGTTAGGATACATCAAAAAAATCAGACATTGCTATTTCGGTCAAGAATTCGCAGGTTTTTAATTTACTAATTATAAAAGTTTACAGCATTTCTGCAAGGTAGGTAACTCAGTTGAGTGTTCTCAGTTTCTCCAGAACTAATCTGGCCCATCAGCATGTAATCACCTTCAGTGCATTCACCATTTACATTTTTACCAAAGTCCATTTTTAGAAGTATCAATTTACATCTATGCCCATTTGGCGGGTCAATCCTCCATCTTTAAAAAATGTAAAACATCATTATGGCTCATTCAAATATCCTTGCTGATATGTACCGAAACAGGATGTATTAGAATTTTTTTGAAGTTTCATGAAGATGCAGTTAACGAGAGGTTGATTAGTTAATCAGTAATTAGAACTATTGAAATATCAGGACTACTGCCAAGTATTGCTTTTTTTGTATCACTTGCGCATATATTTTGATTATTTGCATATTTTATGAAGAAACCTCATTTTTTGATGAGTTTTGTAGCCAGGATAACCAATATTTGTGATTGCTCCTTGCATCTCACTTATTGAACCAAAATCATAGTAAGTGAATGCTGGGTATTCTGCGAAATATTAAGAAATATAGGTGGTGAAATAAGAGATGATGTAAGCGAAACAATACATGTTTTTGTTCATGCTTTAAAACTGATATTGATGTCGCTGCAACTAACGAATAAAGACTTAATTTTCATACCTGATGGCCGAACAGTAAAATAGTATGCATCATATCCTCCAGGAGCCATAGTACCGTCACTGATGAAGGAAATATCTAATTTATTTTCAGAACTGAAAACACTTGGTGGTAATTTGAAGTCGCAAAATCGTTCTGTTTGGTTTTCCGATGAACCTGATATCTATAATTTAAGATGCATAATTTCTGATATACAAATTTTTGATGTATACATGCTTTTGATTAACGCAAAGTATTTTAAAAAAGTCAACTGACTTCAACATAATCATATTCACAAATTCCATTGCTTAATAGACCATTTGGGAATCGATCGAAATTGCGCCTACCAGTAAACCTTAAACATTTCGGTTCCTTTTTAGAACGATATGGTGGATTTGAAGTTTAATATATATAATTTAAGATTTCAAGTCACAGTAGATACCATAGCAGGTACCACTGCAAAAATCCTTGAGAGTACTTTTGTGAAGAAATTTTAATTATGTAAAATTAAAAGTAGAAAGTTACATTTCTCTGATGGAAAGGGAGTATGGACCATACAGTAGTCGGCGCATTTTTTCTAGTCGAAAGTCTTTGAACACTAATAATATGTGATATCCTTCTCGAGCTTTGAAAGTTGTGATGCAGGAGCTGTTGTGATCGTAAGGATTTGGATAATTCGGGCTAGTAATACGACCGGTCATTGCATTTTCTGTATTAATCGTCCGATTACATGCTGTAAGCATTATAAATCATCAGTCCTTAATAATCTATAAATCGTGATGCTTATTTTATGACTATGGCAATAGTATCTAATGAATGGCAAAATAACGAAAGAAATTTCATTTTATATGAACCAAGCTATCAAATAAAAATCCGAAAATTTTTTTTATCTCTACAAGTTCACTTTCAAAACTGGTTTTTTCTGAAACACAAAAGAACTTACAATCAAGTGTTTGATATAAAATGCGAAATTTGGATGTGTGCTCACTTTGCAGAATAGCTGATGTTGTTATCTGAAAATTGTTATGTAAACGCAAATTTTTTGAGAATAGAGAAGTAATATGGTGGAACTGACAGCAAGATCCATATTGTAAACCAAAAAAAATAAGAGTGACCACAATAAAAATTACAGGATCTGTCCTTAACAGGTTAATAAAAAGTCTGTACTTGAACTACACTCGTTCCTGAAACAAAGTCTGCAGGAAGAGTACTGCCACACAATCGGATAGTTTGTAACGCTGCGCTGGCCGTTTTACATGCAGGGTGATGACAATCTGCAGGTAGGCCCGCATCACGTATTTCCAAGTACTCATCAGAACAATCAGATGACAAAGATGGAAATGAGAATTGACTGAAAAATAGCATAAAGAATAATAAACCATATATGGTTCAAGTTATGCAAAATCTCTGGTTTAATTTTCTAGAAAAACCTGAAGTCGATTCGTAATGGCACTTGTTCCTTTGAATAAATAATCCAACGACAGCGCAGGTGCTTTGGAGCTGTTCGCGTAAGAGCTGAAATTAATAGCCCCTAAGACTTTTACAGCAAACTGATCCAAAATTTTTAATCATTTAATGTCTGTTGATTAATTTATTCTATCTACTGATATTCTACAAATCCTAATATTAAAGACACATCTGTATACTAACTTTCTAATTAAACGATATTTTGCAATCAGTAAATATACTTTGAAGTTTTCCTACACTCACAGAAACTAGTCAGACACACAGGAGAAGCTTGACATCATATACAATTTTGAAAGAAACAGTTAAAAGTCAAAATTAATAGCAAACAAGCTACTTTTATCACTTTCGTATTGCAATTCCTTAAGCTCATTCGTTGCTATTTGTCGTCCTCCACAAGGTGCTGTAAAAAAGTTTCAATCACAAGAATCTGAACAAACTTTGGAAATAACTTCTGTGAAGTAATGAAAATAAGAAAGTACAATAAACTGCAAAAAATAAGCATGATATTCCTGAATGATAGAATTTAAGATTTGAAACATTGCCATGAAACATAAAAACAAGCAAATGCTGTCCTAAATACGCTAGAATATATAGATCTGAAGTGCAAGTACTAACTGGTCTAGAAGCAAATACGTGTTAATTTTTTACATAGTTAAAAAGCTTCTATACCTGTAACAGTCGTTAATTTTATTACAAATCCTTTGTATGATTTGTTCGAATCTGATTCGAAATAAACGTATGCAGCACGATATGAGGATTGCATGACTAATGGAAGTTCTTCCACAATTCTGCACGTATTGGAAAGCAATAAAGGAGATGTAGTTTTATATCCGTCATAAATCTGAAGTTTTTAACCTTTAACAGAATAATCACTTCTTAAGAATTGCAAACAAGCTTTTGCAGAAAACTAAAGAGTGAATTTTATACAATGAGTTCAATTTGCAGATTTTTTATTTCAGTAGTAATTACCGCAACATAATCATAGCAACGTCCGATTTCCACATTTGGAGCTTCTAATTCGAACTCTGTTATCTCCATTTTAAGTACTTTACCTACTGGAGCCTTCAATGTCCAACCGCAGCGTAAAAAGTTATAGTACAGACCAGTTTGCGGATCCAGAGGTGTTTTCAATTCATAGCTATTTTCAATCACAATATCACCACCACATCCCATGTCTGGACCTGAACTAATTCTTTTTTCTTCATTTCTGATATATTCTTTATTATAAAGTTTATACTTGTCGAGTAATAAATGACTTACTAACATTTGCATGATAACCTTAAAACTAAGATTAATGTTTTTATACTGAAACTTTGCAATTTCTGTAAGTTTAAATTAACTTTTTCTGTTTTTATTACTGGTAATAATTTTAACCGTTCATTGCATTTTTCTTCGCTAAATGATTCTATAAAAATCATAGCTGATCAGATAAGCAGAAAATGTTAATATCTCTGATCAGATAAGCAGAAAATGTTAATATCTTTTTTGTTGATATGGTACACATCATATGAACAATAATATTAATGCAAAAATAAGAAAAAGTAATGATAATCATAACGACAATACAAGTAAAATAACAAACCAAGAGAAGCAGTTATGATCATTCTAAACCCTCCTCTATAAGCACTTCTATCGGAATGAAATCTGATGACCAAAAATCTTCCAGTTGTTAACATCTGATTCAATGGAACAGTGGAGCCACAGAATTTGCCCATGCTGCTGACATTATTCATTTGTGAACTATCAAAAAGTTCAATAAAATCGAAAACGCAATCAGGTGCTTCTTCCAAATCCAAATCTGTGAATCTGAAATTGATAGGATGACATTTTCATGGAAATTTTTATGTTGACGTGGCTATTTTATATTCATATTAAAAAGTAAATTTCAGATAAAGTTAATACGATTTATACAAGCGTTTTTGGCATTAATATCAAAACACAGAAAGAAGGTGCGATACACAGAAAAATGAAGTATATGACAAACTGACTTGATGCTAATGATTCGCTTTTCAGATGATGATATGTTCCAAACACAATCGAGATTGTGATGATAGGGAAGAGGAAAGCCGGGAGATGAAATCACAGATGACATAAATCCTTTATCTTCTTTCAAACTCAACTCACCACCACATTCTAATAAGTAGATTAAATCGTAAGAAAATTATAAATCAAAAAATGAAGCCTTCATAGATAAAGCTTTAATAACAAGTAGAGTATAACGCAACATCAGAGTACATTTCACCATTTTTCGCAATTCTAAATTTTACATTATTTGTGTTCTGCCAAGCACTTTCAATTCAATATTTTTTTAAAATGAAAAGTACAAACACTCACTTGATAATGCATACGATATTTTAAATCCACGATAGTGCTTGCGGCGATTGATAAGATCTTCTGTAAACGATACATTCGAAACAAAACGTATACCGATTGGTCCCTAAATTTTTTAATTGGATTTCTTTTTCATTTCAAAGTATTGCACATGTTTTCGAAACTTTCAAAGTGCGCTGAAAAAATCACTTTAATGATATTAAAAATTTTTTAAACTATATATTTACATTGTGTTCTTAAATTATCTTGTTTTCATGCAACTGCGCAAAAATATATTTTGTATCAGAAGCAAGATATTAGAAGAAACATAAGCAGCTCAGAAGTGACATTTCTGTAATTCCATTCTTGTAAACACACAATTCATTTTACCTTCACAGAAATGGGTGCTAATTGTTTATTGATCGCATTATTCGCACAAAATGTACCAATAATACGCTTCTTTGAAATATCCTTTAGCTCTAAGAAATCCGTATTGCAAGGTTTTCGGATATAATTCGCTGAAATTTATGAATTTAGAAATTCACATTGCAAGTAAAAAATCATAATTACCAGCACAGCTCTCGACACCTTTACCATTCAAATGTTTAATTTCGCAGGATAAGAAGGATTTTTAAAATATGTCATATGTACAACTTTTAGGGACTCCGAAATAATGGAAGCAACTATGAAAAGAAGTGGTTTTGACAAGAAACATGGACTTCACAAAATAATGGCCAAAAAGTAATTTTTTTAAATTTTAAAGGCTAACAAATGAAAGGATCAAGTTCGAGATCAAGTATCCTTAATGTAATTATGAGTGTCCCATCATAATCAGGATCTATCAAATATTTGCATTCCATGTCCTCATTGGGATAGAAACGTGGGTAATGAGGAGATGTTACAACACCATGATTCAAACGGTATGTAGTACCACATCCTGAAAATACAAAATTGAACTTGATCATAACAAAAGTTACGATTTTCCCTAAATTTTTTGAACCGAAAGAAAGGAATATTTAAACATGCAAAAAACTAATCAACTGCTTTACAATTTAAAGACATCGTGACGTGCATGAACGCAGTAACCTGATTTCCATGTTATGTTGAATCCTTTTCCTGTTATTTTTTCATCTGACTTGAATTCGATTTTAACACGATTACTCTCTGAGTGAAAAATAGGTGGTGTATCATATCCACAAATCTTCATCAATTCCTCTTCATGATCAAAGAGAAAATAATAACCACCTACAGGTGCCATAGCTCTTGACTGATGTTCTTGACTGATCTAAAATAACCTATTCAAATCCTGACAAAAGAACTGACGGACTTTTCAAACCAGTAAGTTTAGACATTATTGCTCCATCAAATTTTTTTAGATCAAATAAAAAAGCAAGAAAAATTATTAGAGAAAAATAGTTTTGCATTATATTTTAGTTTTATTTTATCACACAATATCTTGCACAATAACTACTGTTGAAGTAAAATGAAATGTAGTACAAAAATAATGACTTATTATTTGAAGAATAAATGCAATTAACAATTGCAAACCATCAATTTTACTGAAAAGCAGAGATTAACAGAAAATTGTAGTGATTACTTTTAGGTAATCCCTGCTGCAGTCATTTGATTTCTGCACATCAAAATGGTTAAATACAAGGACAACATGATATCCAAGAGGAACAGCAATATCCCACCAGCAGTGGACATTATTTGGATAATCAAAAGGGTTTTTCGGACTCACTATTGTACCCGTTAAACGATTAGTTGTGAATCCACATTCTGTAAGATGGCAATGACTGAAAAGTAATAATTTTAAACATGCTATTGAAAGAAAGCGGGCATATGTAATTAAAGCTATGAATCAAAAGCTACCGTCTTCAAAACCAGCAAAACTATATTCTAGACGGAAGCCTTTGCGTTCAATCGACTTGTCCGTGTAAAAGTAAAGTGTCAAGTATCGTCCTCTCGATTTTACTTCCCTAAATCGTTCTTGGACAGGTTCATCTTGTGGATTGTTGCAATATATATGCACTAATGATGCATCAGTACCTCCTCCTGCAGCAACAATTTTTATTTAAGACTATAGAATTTCTAAAATTAGATCCTTCAATTCTACTTGAAAAAATAATGAAGAGTTACTTTGAACTTTATATGGGATGAAACGAAAAAAAGGCTAAAAATAACGTTAACACTTCAGGATCATGGAAATAAGAAATACTAACCTTCGAACACTTTCAAAAAATCGTGCTTACATTCCACGTTATATTCCAAGTCCATATCTGTTATCTTAATCTAAAATTATCTTTCATTTCATGAAGGTGGACATTTGCAGTGACATGCAATTAATACAACAAATGAGCTATTTTAGGAAGTTAATCAACTTTATATCCCAAGTTAATTTTGTAAAGCGATATTTTGATTATTAAGAAGATAGTTCCAACTGTTTTATATCCCATTCATCCTCACCATAATGTTTTTAATAATCTATAGACAAAAACCTTGACAATTCGACCTACAGGAGCTTTCAAGCTCCAAACACATTGCATACCAGGTTCGTAAGTACTGTTAAGATCGGTAAAACCAGGACTTGTTAAAACGCCTGGTTCCGGTCCTTGGATAAAACCGCCACAAGCTTAAATAAGTCTTCAGTACTTTCAATTTATCTGACACTTTTTGATTTATTTAAAGAAGTTTTGAGTGCTGTGGAAATGAAAAAATAAAGTTTGGAGTTCATCAAAACGTACGCAAAAACTGGATGGACAAATTAAATGAGATGGATGAAAAATGCAATTGTTGGAATACATGGATGTCAAAAATTTTTTGTGGTAATGCAACAGTAAAATTATTCGCTTTTTTAAGTGATCCATCACAAAATCGCGCTTCTAGAGGCCATGGTTCATTTCCAGAAGCTGAATCAAAATTGATTTCAATAGATATCACATATCATATTTTAGTAACAATTTTTTCGCTGAAAAATTGGATATAATAATGAGCATCCAGTCAAGTAAATCCATTACAAGTTATAGAAACTTCACAAGCATTATTTATGATCATCTTCTTATAAGCATTGCTTTTAAGTCTGAATATTAAAAAGAAGTGAGTTATATACCTGTGAGAGAAACATAACTGTCGGTATCCAAACACTGTCGGTTTGGGTTCCTAAAAGTACTTTCAGGTGACGAGAAATTTTTGAAACGCAGTACAGTAGTACCAGACGGGAATGGTCGTTCGATTAATAAGTGACAATAATCTGAAACAACTGATTTCGACAAGAACAAACAATGCACATTTAAATTGGTGAAGCTATTCAATTATGCATGAATTATTCTTATTTGTCCTTTACCTATTAAAGTTTCGGGATATTAACATTATATTTCAATTTTTTCGGGGCTAGCACAATCAGTAAATCAAAATCACAAAACGAATGGGGGAAAACAAAATATCTGAAAACTTTCTGTGAAACCTTAATTATATAGGTAATAAACAAGTAAATAACAGTAACCAATTCTAGATAATAGTGCGGGAAGATTTTCTGTAAAGTTCTGGCCCTTGAATTCAATCGTTTTATTTTTTTTCACATGATACATGCATCCGTTCCCATCGAATTCAGCAGGTACCTGGAAAATTGTGAATTTGTGTATTGTTTCCAAACTTCAATTTTTGGGCACAATATGTGGAATGTGGTATAAGAAATGAACAAATATACAAAGCATTACTTTTGATCATATAATAGAAAAACACTACTAAAGTTTTTCTTGCATTATTTGAAAAATTTTATAGTTCATGGCACACTTTTTTTACTTCCATTCAGCCTTCACATTTCATTGATATAACAGTATCAATATATATTACTTTAAAGTAGTCAATACGGAATGGCGCATAGATTTTTTCTGACGGTACTCCACGTTCAAGCATATTTCGCTTTTCAAACATAGCAATATGGTCGTCGTAACGTATTACAACAAAATCTGCCGTTGATATGAATCGCGTTGCATTAGAACAAAAAGTGTGGTGAAAATTGTAAGAATCCATCAAAGTATTTATGCCATTAGCAAAATAAATATCAGGATAACATCCAACCTCGTTATAAGTGTTCAAATAAAAATTCTGTAACAATCTGTGATTATGATGTTCCTGTTTATCAAAATCAAACTCGAGCTGATACCAATTTCTCGTCTGTAAGGGATAGGAGAATTTCAAATTTCTAAAAAAAATATTCAAAATATACTGCACAGTTCACCGCCTTCAAAATCTTCCAGTTTAATAAAAGCTTACCTCTTGCTTGACAAATGAAAAATCGAAAACATAACGATAGCCGATTCCTGCACGAAATGTCCAATCACATATAATATGTGTTTGAAGCTGATTTGGATATCCAGGCACAGTAATTCGTCCATAATCATCATTAATATCTCCTCCACATTCTACAAAATTATTTTATGACTGTGCCGTTACAGTTTGTGCAAAGCTGAAACATGCACATAAGTTCCAATATGTTACCAAGTTTGCTGGAAACTAAATCAAGCTGGAAACCACATTTCCCCTCAAGACAAAATAAACGACTTGATCGACTAATTGTATTGTTTGCTCGAAATTTTACATGCATGACATTCTGAGCTGTTGTAAAATGCTTTCCACGAACTTGATTTGATATACATACTGGTTCCGAAATATATTCTCCTAAGACAATGATGTACTAGTTCATAAATAATGTTTTATAATAAATTATCCTGTAAATCAGTACAAAAAGATATAAATATTCTCGAAGGTTTCAAACACAAGTTCTTAAATTTCAGCTTTAATTTGCATTTCATATTGTTTTTTTTGAGAAAAATTTATAAATCTTTACCTTTATCGTTACGTTCTCGTAAAGTGATAAAGTCCTCAGTACAATTTTCTGTGAATGAAATCCATAAATGATCAAATCTGCAACCCGCTGTTAAGAATCAAAAAAAGTTTAGTGGTACTGCCATAACTGATAAGGTAACGACCAATTTAAAAGTTTTGACCAATAAAATGAATATTTATAAAAGTTATTCAGTAAAAAAAATGAAAAAAGTTACGTTGCATTTACGTAGTGACCTCGAGTTGCCATTACAGTCCAATCACAAGAAACTTGATTCGGATAAGGTTCAGGATAATTTGGACTTCTAATTACAGTACTTCCATTTATAGGAATAACAACACTACCTCCACAAGATGCTGGAAACAATCAAGTATGTCATTCAGAAAAAAATTACTACAAGACCAAAACTGATTAATTATATCAACTCACTACTTTGGAGATATCAATAGTTCATAACCATGAATAAAATGAATTATTATTACTTATGAATAAAAAGAGTTTGACATGCATAATAATATAAATTCATTATCTTCCGCTTAATTTTGAAATTTCGAAAAAATCAACGAAAAATTGATAATAACTATGAACTAAGAGACTTAAGAAGAGAAAAAAATACCGATTTCATATGTAGCATTCCATCCCGATGATTGAACGAAGGAGTCTGTTTGGTAACGAATGTTTAAATACGACCCAGTCGAAAATATGGAGCTTGGTGGTTTGGTACCACAATATCTCCCAATCAATGGGGATAATCTTGAAGGTCCATCACGAATCTCAAGAAAATCACCCGTACATCTGTAATTAGCTTTACTATATTCCAGAAAATATTGTAGCATGCTAGCTTGGACTTTTTTCATCTTCATTTATAATAATTATAATGTTTTTCACTCGTACCGAGTAAAGTTTCAAAATAACTAAAACATAACTTGTTTTTGATATTCACTGCAAACTGAAATTTTTACAAAAAAAAAACTATTATGCGCACGCATTTTCCATTGAATTGTCTTCAAGATCAAAACTGACTGGATCAACAGTAAACTTTATACGATGCCCACCAGGTGCACTGATTGTCCACACGCAATCCAAGGAATTTGGTGACACTGGAATATTTTGGGACCAACATTAGATCAAGTTTAGAACACCATACTTATATTACACTTAAAACCATAATAATCAAATTTTATTTTTTTCATCTACTAAATTTTATCACAATACTGGATTTGACCAATAAGAGATGAGAAAATAAACTTTTGGGGAAGTCAGGTGAACTGAGCACTTGTGCTGCATCTCCTTCGGTCAAAACAAGTTGATCAGAACTACAGTCATGCACTTGTTCGGTTAATTGAAGCGCAAATCCCTTCAAAGTTAAAAATCTAAACGTCTACTAATTGAATTTATGTAAACAGATTGAAAGGGAACAATTGATATCTAAAAGTGACTGTTTGGTTTGAATGTATATAAATCAAAGATAATTTGTAGCATACTAAAAATCGCTTGAATTTGTTTCATTTGAAAAAATTGAAATGATAAAATAACAGATCTCAGCAACCTTTTTAGTAACCTCTAAGTCAGTTACAAAACTTATGAAGACTCGTCCGTCTGAGAAAGTTTTATTCCATCCAGAAAGTTTACCGCATAATTTATCGATAACAGTTCCATCTGAATGAGTGGGATTGGACTGCTGAAATAATTCAGTTAGGAATTGCTCTACCTATAAACATAGTAATATATTTGGCCATGACTCATTGGAACAGGATGATTCTAGCAAAATTTATTTTGCTTTTAATACTAAAGACTTACCAAAGTAATACTATCTTTGGTACATGCTAGGCTTTCCTCAATGTCCATAGAGAGAAATTTAACTAGAAGTGGTCTGCTACTTTCTAGCAGAACTGACCATGAACACGTTAAATTGTTTTTGTAATCACTTGGATAATTCGGACTGTATAGAGTTCGATTAAAAATACCCAAAGATGCCGAAATGTAATTGAATGACACGCAAACTAAACAAAAAAATTAAAGTTTTAGTTTCCAAAGATGTTTAAAATCAAAAATTTTGCTGACGTCCACTTTATTCATTTAACAAGTGATCAGAATTTGAGAAAATACAATGCTTCGAACTCAAAATTAACACCAAATTATTGCTCTAATTCACCAAAAGATACCGAAAGTCGTTTACCAAGTTTATATTCAATGACGAAACCTCTTCCGGCTCTATTACGATCAGTCATGAAATAAACTGATACTATCTCATCCGAGCTAAACAATTCTTCTGTTCCCACATCCTTATGCTTACAAAACTTCATAACATTGCCTCTGTAAGTAGCTTAAAACAATGAAGTTTTTAAATGAATTAACCGAAAAAATGCATAGTGCAGTGGTCAAAATAAAAATAACAAATCTCTGGAAAAAAATGATCAGTAGCTTTCTCCTGTACCAAAACTTACACCAACTGTCCATTTTCATAAGTAACACCACTTGTATCAGATGAAATAGCAACATAATCAAAACGACAATCAATGTGCTCCTCAAGATCCATCGAAATTATTTTCAGTGCTATTCCTGCAAACATTGGTCGAACAATTGTCCACCTACACTTGAGCTCATTTGCGTACCCTCCGTACCCTAAATAATGTTTTTTTCATAATTATGGAAATTAAATTTTGATGGACTTATTTCGTAACAAATAGATCAAATATGACAAATTTATGAAAAATTAATTTCAAAACAATTTTTATAGGCAGTACAATTTCAAGTCAGCGCTTCTAAAGTACAGAAAAATTGAGGGATTACAACTTTTCGTGAAAAATATCAAAACTCTTGCATTACTACATACTTACATGCTGATAACCGATACATGTAATTAGATCGCCATGATTTTGTAGTTGAGGTTTGTGAAGCCACAGTAGTGAATTTGCCATCTGCCGATATACCGCCTGGATTCGTGAGATATTGAGATTCAAAATTTGCCGTAAGTGTTTTACCACAATTAAAATCTTAAAATAATGACATTGTTGCAACTATATTTGAGATAATTATGATTCTGAGTAGCATAAAGAACCATATAGAAATCGATATAATTTTTATATAGCACAAAATGTAAAATATCTAAAGTTATGTGACAGACTGACAACAAGAATGTTATATTCATTGACACATAGAGTGCTTAAAAATTCAGAAATATGGCAACCTGGCATCAAATTTTCGGAAGTCATTTCATTTGTCTGGACTGAAGCATTAGCTAAAGCTATTGGAATGCTTTCCCAGAATAACCGAAACGAACTTCCTGGTTGTGCGTGGAACAAAACTGTAGCTAAGTGTGATTTAATGATGAAGTCTGAAAGGAGTTCCAATTACTGCATTATTATTGTTTTTATTACTTTTATCAAAAGTAATATAATTCCGCTTACCATTTGGGGGTATGTACCCTGTATAGACAAATTCCACTCTACCGCAACCATCACTTTTATCATTTAACATGCAAATTCCCTCGTTAAACTGAAATTTTTTCGACACCATTTACAGAAATAAAGCGTAATTCGCCGATTACTGTTACCATATTTACTTTGGTATAAAAGTGATAATATTTTAAAATACAAATAAGATACTGCTAATAAATAGTGTGAAATATTACTATTATAAGGTGAGATGTGATGAGTAAAACTTCAATTTCTTGTTTCAAACTTATGATAACATTGCTTAAACATTTATCATAAAGACAACTAACTATCTAAAACAATTATTGAAAATACTTACAATCAATCCTTTCAACATGTCTCTCTGGTCTGGGTCAATATTTTCCTCTTGTTCATCAGGTATTTCGATAACTTTTATCGAGATTTTTAGCCAGTGATCAACCTGACCAATTAAATTCCACTCAATTGGTTTGTTTTCGAACAATTTCCAGTCGTCGGCTGACGGCGAACTAATAACTGCGCTATTTGCTACTCCACCAAAAACTAAATAGCAACCATTAATTTTTATGAAATATAATACTGATATATTTACTACATCTCGCAAGTTTATCATTAATTCAATGCTTGAAATCTTGGTTTACTACACCAAAAAATAAAAAAATTTTAGAAATCAAAAACATAAAGTACTGTCATAATTTTTATTACATAAGCCTTTAAAGGCAATCATTTTATTATTAATTCACAATGTTCTTATTCACACTAATTATTAAAACTAGCAAAATACAGATCAAGAACCTGAGCACTGCTTCCGATTATAGTTCGAATAAAATATCCGACATGGTATTTATGAATATTTTAAAATAAAAAGGAAAAGAATTGTGAAAAAAAGTAATTTGTAAATTGCTGCTTATGTAGAGCAGAAAAGTGTAATTTTGAAACAGATAAACTCATATTGAAGTTACCTTTCCTGAATTTGATCATTAATTCGGGCTTGAATGATTCAATATCACTATGATCATCTCCGCCATCAATATATCTTAACTTAATCCAGAATATTTGACTCTAAAATTATCAAATTTCGAGAACATAAATGAAATGGATTGATTTTATAGAATGCACAAAAATCGAAAATTCAGTCATTTTGTGACGGTCTGGGAACGCAGAAATACATGAAAGAAATAATACGTATTTAAGCAAAAAAATTCTCAAATGCTCACTTTACATAGAATGATTTCAAGTATAAGATACAGAAGTAAAAAATTCACAAATCTTACAGTTACGGTTGGCACAACATCTTCGAAAGAACATGCTCTCATCGCAATTTTTCCACTACTATTGTTTTCTCGAATCTCCAGATATGATTCTGCACAATATTCCGAAAATGGTAACTTCAAAGAACTGGAAAAGTCTTAGCATATTAACTGCCTTAGAAAACGAGCAGTATAATTTCTGAATTCTGAATTAGATATCAATTCTTGCATTTTTTGTTCATAGCGGAGAAACAAAATTTCGCAAAATATAAAACTAATAAAGTAGGGCACGAAAGAAGAAGTTAGCAATGTAAAAGGTAACACATAAGTGCTCCATTGAACAAAAATTTTTCGGCAGTTAATCTGAAATTATAAATTGATGAAAAACTCAGATTTTTAAAAAATATGATTAAAAATTACAAGATTTCTAATTCCACTTTATTTCCTTCTGTATTTCTGATAACCCACTCGCATTCAAAGTCGTTTTCAATAAAAGGATAATATATGGTTCCACCGATGGAATGAATGGTACCACCACAACCTTAATTTTCTCACTTGTAAAGAAAATTTATCATAAGAGATGAACCAACTAGTCCTGCAGATTTGAAAATGACATACTTTCAATTCGAGTTGAATATGAAAAGTAAATATGCTCTAAATGCAAAGAATTAAGCTCCATTAAGTGCACGCTGAGAACATTGCCTGTTGAGCGTAATTCTCGATTTGAACATGTACGTGTCATTTTTTCTATTGACGGATGGCATTCAATATGATATCTTTAAGGTTTATATTTTAATAACTACAAAGACGAAATGTTTAATTATATGTGGATACAAGAAATTTATTTAAAAACATGACTAATTATTAGATGAAGTCCCTTGAAAAAATTTTACAAAATCAGTTTCAAGTGATCGAAAATTAGTTTTAAAGTAAAACACAAATCAATTTTTGCAGTTCAATATTGAAATTAAAGAGTTACCGATGATAATAAATAAAATTTGAATAAAAGCATGAAAAATACAAAAACAAACATTCCAAGAGAAGGTGCATCTTCCTGCGCACCGTCATAAATAGCAATTGTAGCACCAGTTTTCTTACGCCCTCTTGATGCTTTACGTTCTTTAAAACGTAAACGATCGATACGCAAATACACGTGCTGGCCATCTAGAAAATTTGGAGATCATTAAGGAAAATTGAAATTATTAAAGTGCATGAATGTAGAAGCAAGCCTCAAACAACCTGGAGCTCTGATCAGGAACTTGCACTTATCTTCTCTTTCTACATAGAACTGAAACGTTTTAAGTTCATCTCCAGCGTATAGTGTGCCCCCACATACCAAAGATATATACAGTAGGAATCCAATATCATGGGTACGTTCGTCATCCCCGGACAAATACGTTCGCTCATATGGGCTACCTTGGAATGTGACTAATGCCTAAAATGAGAGCATCATAATTAAACTATCTGTACAAAAATGGAAATTAGTATGTACCAAAAAAGACTCACTTGTTCAGTAGTAGATCGAACGACTGTTGTTTGTTGCAAATCATGGCAAAAACGTTCTAAAATTTCTCCGCTTCTGTAATATATTTCTATAAAATACGAAGAAAGCGATAAATTCAGAAGCAAATTAAATTTAAATGATTGCTACGAAAATGGATGAAAATTCATTTTGTTAGCCATTTATCTTTTGAAATATATTTGTATTTTGAAAAAGAACAAATAAATAACATACGTGTCATTGCCATCTTGAAATGTAATTGACCCCTCAAGAAAACTCTGTGAGCTTTGACATCTTAAAATACTTAATATTTTACTATTTTAAATATTTTGTGAAAAACATAGCAGTCGCTAAAGTTAGCTTGGTAGAACAGTAGCCAAAACCAAAAAAACTGTTAAAACATATAAAGCGGCAAAAATATATTAAAAAATATATTCATCAAATAATCATAAGTATGCGTAGAATAAGTAAAAGTGATGAAAATAAGGTCTACTAACATGTTGAATAAATAAAACGACGCACGTGTATTTCTACTGCTCAAGGAAAAAACTAAAGATGAATTATGAAAAAATCCAGTCTTGTGAACCTACGTAATATTAGGCACTAAATTAGAACGCCATATTTTCATGTTTGTTCGTTGAGGATGATAACTTAAGGTTTTGAAGTGAGTCAAATTAAACTGAATTGAATATCCACTTGGCGCTTTAATTAACCAAATGCATTCAACTGATTTCGGATAAAGTTTTGGGAAGTTTGGAGAATGCAACAGCAACTTCTCACCTTGACTGACTGAAAATTCACCAGACTTACGTTGAAATTGATGGATAAGTGAGATAAAATAAATGCCAGTGTTGTGCAAACTTAAAAATTGCAACACTCTTCAAACTATTATATTAAATTTATAGTTTTCAAAACTTTCGGATACATTTTCAAGCCATTCACTTCTGCATTAATGTCATTGAATAAACACCAACGAATGAGCCAAAAAATTTTTACTTTCCACTACAGCTCCACATTCGTCATTTGCTTTTGCAGATACGAATAGCACTTTTCCTGTGAGAATACGTTTTTCCATGTCTGGTTTAGCTGATTTATTGGGAATTCTGAATTTTACAAATAATTCATTTGTATGAGACGAATAGTTGAAATCTTGCACACTCGAACAAATAACTCTTTGAGCAAATCCCGTTCTATTGCTTCTGCCCGAATAAAACTGAAACATTATCACCTAGATAATTATCCTAAAAACTCATGAATTTAAAAAGTAAAACAGCGTAACAGTGAAAACAATGCATAACACCAGTATCATTAGACATCGAAGTAGAAATTATAAATCATAACAAAATTCTGAAGTAAATTCTACAATTTCTTCGTTTGGATTCATTTCACTGTCTTCACCTTTAGAGGTTGTGTTTGCTACTTTGCAAAGCTATTTCATAATGTTTCACACTTCGTTCTCACTCTCGTAATTATGCCAAATTGAAGAAATAAGTGAAGAAAAATTTTATTAGTATTTTGGAAGATAATTACTTACAGCCAAACCATTGAACTGCTCGCTATCTTCCGCGACACAACCTTCAGTTATTTGAAATATTGACAGTCTATCGATTTGAAACAATACTCGCATCCCAACAGGAGCAATTATTTTCCACGTGCATTCGTAATTTTTTGAATCATTCAGAAACTGATCCACGTGAACAGCTACTGTAGTAGGTGATGTGAGGTCACCGCCACATCCTTCAAAAATACTTTATGAGGCGTGTTTTAACATCAATCATTTTACAACAATACTAATTCTCGTCGAAAATAAAAGTGAATTAAACAACTATAATTTTGCTCATTTTACATGAAGAGAGTGAAATTCAAATTATGTGACCTTCGATTCTAAGAAGTTGAGTATAGTGATCATAACAGATGTCATTTAAATTAACCTTCATTAGACCATGAGAGCCAGAAATGATTCTCGGGTTCGTTTTTTGAAGAAAATGTTATGTCAATGAATTCAGTTCTCGTCACAATCCAAACTGGTTTACCAAAACGATCACAGAATTTCCTGGCTGCTTCTGTTTCATTTTGCTGATCTTCTATTGTAACTGAAGACGTTAGTATTTGATGTTCTCCAAACTGAAACGTGGCATATCATAAAACTACAAATTTACCCAATGAATCAACATTTGAAAAAAATAACTTCAAAACTCCAATAATTTTTTACTGCTTTTATTTTTAGAAAGTTCTATCTGTGTCTTATATCTTATTTTAGACGGATAGCAGCATATTTTCAGCCTGTATTTCAGTATACTTCAGTAATTCATGTCTATTCTCGAGATTTTGAAGTAAGACAACAAAACTATTTCTACCCTAGATATTATTTGTCGAAGCTGCTTAAAGATAAGAAATTAATGATAACTTTTCATAGTAAATTTCTTTTACATTAGATATGTTGCACCACTTTTCCCGCTGTCAAAACAACTTTAACAAAATGGTCAGACACATAGTCTATTGTAAATTTTTGCTTTCTTAAATAACTGCAAAAAAAATCATACAAGAATTATTAATCAATCAACTCATTAAGAAATTCTGGCTAATTTTCAATCAAAAAATTAACCTCAAGATAATTGATAAGACAAGCAGGTGCTAGGCGAGAATTTGATTCTACAATCCTAAACATGTGGAATATTAATCGCAAACGATTTCCTTCCGTCGTTTGTATACGCCACTTACAAAAACGATTTTCCAAAGTCCGATCTGGATAGCCTGGACTTTGCAGAATACCGTGATGTCCATACAACAAGATTTCATTGCATACTGGAAATAAATTTTTGAAACCATTATGGTCACATTTCTATTGGTACAGACGAAATTAAATTCTAATTCATGATTTTTTGAAACTTAAAAATTTCAAGACGCTTTGCAGACCGTATTTTAATCCTCTAAAATATAAACATAAGTAGTTGCCAAAAGAATTTAAAAAACTGGGATTTGTATTAAATTTTTATACAGAAAACTGATCGAAAAGCAAAGAAAAAGGATTTCAAGAAAATTTCTGAAGTAATATTTACCAAAGGACAGAAATCCCATAAATTGAATATATCATGTGATACTATAGGAAACCTGTGGTATAATGAGCGAGAAATCCAAAAATTGAGCCGAAAGGAGTCCCACCATGTTGACGATATCGAACCGTTAGTTCATTTGTTTCAGAATCAATCGACGATAACGAAATTTCCTTCTTGCAATAACGTCTGAGTATGCGTGATGATAGTGATGAACCCTCGGCTACCTAAATCATTTTAACCACTGACGAATAATCTGTATTTCAGAATTATTTTCCATTAATATGAAAGTTTTTCCAAAAATTGAAAAAATTTTACTGAAGCAATGCTAAGTTAACTTATCCTAGATATTTATCAAAAAAGAAAGATCTCTTCATATTCTTAGCTTCTACAATAATTTGCATAATCATAAAATCGTTAGCAATCAAAACAAACATCGATGTAATTGGGAGCGAACGAAGAGCAGAAACCATTAGAATCGGCTGAATTCAAATCATCAAGATTTGTAATCGTGAAACGAACTCGGTTACCTATAATAAATTATGGAATACTTTTATAATGAATGATGAGTAATATTATGCAACGGCAAACCTTCGGCGACATAAATGTGCCAGTCGCAATTTAAAGTTCGTGAATCCTTCAAAGGATACTGAGGAGCTGATAAGGCGCCATTGAATCCGACCAAACGTCCTCCACAATCTGCAAATATTCCACATTTCAATTTCCATAAAAGTGTATAGGAGATAAAAATAAATACTAACCTGAATCTATTTGTTCATAATAAATTATGAACTGCACCGAAGGAGCATTGCTTGTCTTAAGACGCATGAAAACACGGTTGCCTTGTGAACGTAATTCTTTCACAGGATGGTCGTTACATACTTCTGAATCCCGATAGAGTCCTCCAAAACCAGGTGACTGATCATTCACTCCATTCCTTGAATGAAAATTTATAAGAGTCACATACACAAATTCTTTGCTAATTTAACCAGGGATTTTGACAGAGGCTTTGTCAATTATCACGTTACGAACAGTGCATTAATATTAACTACTAAGTCCAAACTTGAAATGTTCTACATTAAATACAGATCAAATTACCTCAACATAAGTGTTCCTTGCTCACAAGGAATTGATATATTCTCGAACCGAAGTAGTATTCGTTTCGAGGACTGCAACTGAAATTGTACGAGTGAGCAATACATTTATTTTATTACTGCATTGAAATTTAAATTGCATTATATCCAATAAAAATACTTCAAGAATATTGAAAATTAATTTACTGCAATTTGGTAGTCACATTGAGCAATGTTTAATTCAGTTTTAGGACGAATCTCAATAATACCACTGGAAGCTGTGTACGTTTTATGGCATTCAAGCTGCAATTGAAATTAGTGGATAGGAAGAGTTAATTTGAGTAGTTGAATTTTTCACCAGTCTCAACTGAGACTTACAACAAAACAATGAATTAAAAAAACTGTTGAACATCATACCTTATCATCAACAACTTCCCATTTAGCAACAAAACCAGCACCATTCACTGAACGATCACTTTTGAAAACGACAGTTAATTGACTCCCAGTGGATAAAACTGGAGGTGGAAGCAATGTACCGCAAAACCTAAAAGTATAAAATGAAACTGATGCTAATAAGAAAAAATCAGGAATTCAGAAAGAAAGAATTAGTTTCAAAACGAAAACATGAGTGGCAAATACGGATGAACGAGATCAAGAATCATGCTTTCATTTTTGCATGTTGCTTACGTACTTTCCATGAAATTTTGTGTACTCATCATCGCTTACGTAAGTATCATAGATTTCAACATTATCATAGGAGCAATCTTCTCGATTCGGAACAACCTCCAATTCGAATACTTCGAATGTCAATTTAATCCGTTTACCCTTAAAATTTTTATTATCAGTAACAATTTAGAAAAAAACGATTCATTTCAAACTAATGATGCTAAATGAATACCGATGCATTAATGACATATATGCAATACATGTGTGCAAGATACTTGTCCGGATAATTAGGACTTGTTATTCTACCAGATTCACCCTCAAATATTCCACCACATCCTATAATGGAAAGCAGGTTCTCGTAAAAAAATCGATGCTGCATTTTAATAGTTCCTAATGTTTATAATAAATTGCAAATTTATTTATCATAATATTATGCTAAATTTAACTGCAATAAACGTGAAAGAAAAGGCAAAATTGAATGGCCATGAGAGAATTTCAAACAGAAAATAATTTACCAACATCAAATCGTTCGTATGAAAATAGAATGCCTTTATTTTCAATACCACTCGAACTTAATGTGATTTTTAGAGGCTTCGAAGCGCTTGTTACCTGGAGATTTCAAAGTTATTTTTTACAGGAATAAACGTTAATTTATAAACAAACGTACCATTTCTCCTTCGGGTGCAACAAATGGATAGCGAGCGCAAATGTACCGCTTATTAATTTGATAATGAGATTCATGACCACCTGAGAACTGAAAACCTGCATAATTTAAATCAAAAGAAGCAAAAAATTGTAAATAAAATCTTCACATTTAATGAATTATGTTCTTTATTGAACAAAGAACGATTAGATAAAATAGCAAAGTTTTAAAAAATGGATAACTAATTAAATGATAGGCAAACAATTAGCTCTAGACTCTGATCAATCGCGAAAAAGAAAGACGATGCAAAATAATAAATGATGTCAATTATTGATGTAATCGATTGAGGTCACACTTTAATCTACTTGTAATCTATTCATAAATGTATCTTCGATAGAAAAAACATTCATTTAAGATAATTAAAATTGTTGAAGGATTTATAATACACAGAATTTTGTTATTATATCAAATCCTTTGAAATCCACAAGCAAATCTTTCATATATTATTAGCTAACAAGTGAGCATCAAGCAAACTTCGACGTAGTCTTCGATGGAATCATGCTTAGCAACATCATAGAAGCAGGTTTTGATATCGGTATTCAATCCTATGAAATCGAATTTCAACTTTATCGCTTTTGTCTTTTCGGCATCTATGATATATGTACATTTGAATGCTTCTGCACTACCATTGGGATAATTAGAACTGCGAATGAATCCTTTTGCAGATGTGAAATGTTTCTCACATACTGAAAATTTATGCTTTCATTGGTTTTATAAAATTCTGAACGAAGTAATGGCAGAACTCTTCTTGCAATTAAAATTATGCATACAAGTGGAATATATTATAACTTAGTTCAAAAATGAATTATAATCTTAATTATTATCAAAATGATTAATGCCTTCTAAAAATAAATATGAGTGATCAAATTATAACTATAACTATATTAAAAAACATTCTATAAAACCCAATTCAACGTGTCCGGCAAGTCAATAGAGCTAATTAATAATTTAAACTAAAAATAACTGATAATTGTGCATACCAGTTGAATAGTGGATTCTAAAGCCTTTTCCGTTGACAGACTGATTGGAATGGAACTGCACTACCATCTTTGGAGTTGAAGAGACGATGGCACCTTGAGGTTGTTTGCTGTTACAGTATTTTCCCAGTATAGGCTGTGACGCATCGCCGCCATCTTTAAACTGAAATGCGAATATCCTTTAGCGAATAAATTTACCACTCTTGATAAAATTATCATTACTCTTTAAATACATTTGGTGGATAAACTCATTATTTTGCTAGTCTAGAGACTGCACACATATCTCAAAGCAAATTAGCATTGGGTCAGGAGATAGTGGAGAGTCTACAGACTTCATTCATTCACTATCAGAATATAGAAACTTTTGGCTTCTGCCTATTGAGCTCTCAGCCATTTCTCTCCTTACACAACCAACTGCCATCATTCACACCGAAAGCTCGTCTTTAACGCCGCGGAAGCAGCCAAGGATCTTTTCCATCTAGCACAGCAAGCCATCCACTGCTAGGAGCATTAGCACGCACTAAGACCCATCAGAATAGCAGAAACTTTCTTTGTATTGAAATTCCCGCACTTGTTGAACAATGACATATTTTTTTGTAATCATTGATTATTTCTAACCAAGAAAATTAGTACTTGTTTTAAAAATCCTTCAAATTCAAGAAGAAATTCATTCGCTTACTTTTGACAATTATTATATTATATACATTTATGATAATTCTGAACACTATTATATTCAAGCACAATAATATCCAAGATTACTTCACAATTAGTTACTTTCCTTCTTTTTTGTCAAAATAATATTTGTTAACAGAAAACAAGCACCGTTATTGTGAACTCACAATGATGTAATCGAAGCGACATGATCTTGTAAAAGTTAACAGACGCTGCAGTGGACGTATAGTGTATACATTCGATGAACGATAATGAGATGACACTTCTGCAAACAAATTCTTATTACGTGAGTCAAAAATATAAAGTTTTAGGCTAGATCAGATTGAGAAACAAAATTTAAAGAATGAAATGATTAATTATATGAACTAAAACACATTTCGATATAATTGAACCAAAGACCACATGAGTAACTATAGTCTTTTTTAATGAGCTCACTTTGGCTTGATTTTGGTGGCTCTGAAGGTATATCCAAATCAATGACTTCAGCTTTTATCACCATTGCATCATCACCCTGTAGTGAGCAGCAAACAGTACAATCACACTGTTCACATCATGTGAACTTTATTTATTATGAAATTGATAAATTTTTTTGGTACTAATTTTAGTCCATAAAACTGCCTGCTTTTAATTACTGCACAATTATGAGCTATTGTTTCCAATTTTTGCCTTAAGTTAAAAGCCACAAACGCTTAATTCTTTTGAACTGATAGGAAGTAGTTTACGTGAGCAATGGCGGATGCATCGAGCAACCACAAACAATCTAAATTTGGAAAGTAGTTGAAACCGTAATTAGGAGATTGAATATAACCGTCAAAAACGCCGGCCGCATCGGGTAAAATTGTTCCACCACAATCCTTATCGACTGAAATTTCGCTTATGCATATTTTAAATAATTTATTGACTACACTGATAAAGCAGTAATTTATAATGTTCACAATATTAATAGAAATCACTATTTTTTAAAATGAGAAAGCTTCTTAAAAAGAAAGAAAAAATACGCTTGATCGTTCTGTAACGAATTGTAAAACCCCGACTGCAAATAGGATCACCATCACCTAAAATAATTTTTAAACTTAATATGGTATTCAAATTTAGGAAAACTTAGAGAATAAGGTGATAGACTTACAATTTTCCGTTGGAAGGTCAGATGGATAATTACTCTTGAAGTAAACTGTAAAATAAGGCAGTGTTGTGCGTACCAAAGTCCTTGTTGATTCACTGCTGCATAAATGTAATATACGCTCTGTCTCGTCGATTTCTAAGCCATCAAATAACTAAATGTTCCTTTATAAAGACTTGTAGGAGTGTTTAAAACTTTTGCAAAATTAAAAAAAACAACGATATAGAGACTTCTAGTGAGTTCAGTGAGCAATTTCTGATTTCCCCTGTAGCAAATTTAATTGGTTCCACAGTGATTTCTATGTGCATTTCAGGATTGACTGAGATGTGCCACTGGCATATTTTGTCTTTTTCATAGCCATGCAATGATATCTCTCCTTTATCACCGTAAATCCGTCCACCACATTCTTCAATAAGTTGAAGTTATAAAACATCAAATTTTGAAAATAAGTAGAAAGATAATGATGATAATAGTTTCAAACTTTTTTCAATAACACGCCATCGCAGTGCGAAATTGCCAATTCCAATGCTAGTTTTTGCAGAAACGAATCCAATATAAGCTTTGTTGGACGAAAAATAAATTGGACGAGACACAGGAACCTTAATAGGTCATAATAACTGATTAAAATATGAAGTTTCAAATTTTCAACAAAACAAATAAACTAATACAGTTTACATTAATAGAAATACAAAAAACTAACAGTCGCAGATCCTCGTGAGCCACAAAATACTCCTACTAATGGGCTATTTGCATATGGTCCGTCACGTAAAGTAACATTTGCATCAGCTGCAGAACAAGTTGCCACTCGTGTAGGTAAGTGGAAATTGGTAAAGTTTATCTCAATCACCTGGAAGTAAAATTTGTTTTTATGGAATGCTACACAATTTTGACAAATGTTTCTGATCAGCTAAAAAGTTTGAATACTTTTAGAAAATTTATGTTTCATCATATTAGAAGCTTGCATTTTTGTAAATAATGTATTTAAACTTCTTGCTGTGGTGAATTAGATTATACTTTGCAGTGACTATCCGAATTCTTCTAAATTTGTAATCAGTATCAAAGATTAAAAATTGAATATCTATTAGTATATACTAAAAAGTGCTCATTTCAGAGCTTTTTTAATTGCATACTTATTCCAATATCAAAAATTAGCTAAATAGTATTCGCGATTAAGTACTGGAATACTCATGCGCAACTTACTTTACTTGGTTCATCTACAGAAATGATCCATTCGCAAGTTTTGTTCCTACTAAAATGATACCATGTCCAGTCAGGGTACTTGATCGAACCTGTTGAATTTGATACATGTCCTCCGCAACCTGATCAGAAAAAATGCATAAATAATGTTTGATTTAATGGAAGTTTTCATATAATATAGAACAAAAGTAAGGATAATGGACAAACCATCTTGTTCATATTCGCAAGTCGGACCATAGTAACCTCTCAGACATATACATTTAAATGAACCGTCTTGTTGCACCAAACAATCACCTCGACCACGACATACATTGCTTAAACAGGCTGTAGGCAATTCGCAGTGCCTCCCAACGTAACCCCATCGACAGTGACATTTGTATTCTCTATCTGAGAGCACCTGAAAAAAAACAAAATTGTCCTTCTGCTTATTTTGACTAATTTACTAATGAAATTAAACTTCAGAAAAATTGCCACACTCAAGTTGGAGTTTTATTTTTCATTTTACTCAAGAAATTTTTGAAAAAAAAGTCTTATGTTACAAAATGAAGATGCTAAATAATGTAAAAGCTGCTAGAATAAAAATTGCTAAAGTATAGACCTTGCTAGAATGATGCATGATAAAATAGTTGATAAACATTAATTTAAACACCTGACATGTTCCGTGATTATGACATATATCACCAAGGCAAAGGCTAGTATTGGAGTAGTAACAGCCATCAACACCAATACCATCTCCAATCATTCCCGGGGGACATTCACATCGAAAACCCTCCTCATTCAACGAACTTATCCCCATGTTATAACACTTTGCTTGTACGTGACACGGTGATAAATCGCATGGATTCTGCTTTTTGCAAATACGGCCATTACCTTTGTAACCTGTATCATTTCAGCAAAACTGATTAGTTCTATTTTCTCAGTTTTGCGAATTAGAAATTGAGTTTATTCCAATTTCAATTAATTGAGTCTCTCTTCTTTTAATGCGCAAGTATGCTGGTTATTGCATATATTTATGGTAATTATTATGGAATCCAGTAAAAAGTAACCTGCAGGACAAGATTCACATTCATATGATCCAATAGTGTTAATACATTTCACAGGTGGATCCTTTGAGCAGGTTTCGTAACTCTCATCCGCACATTCATCGATATCCAAACAAATTATTCCATTACCCAAAATTTCAAAGAGTTTCAGAAATTTTGGCATAAAAGTTCTTTTTAATTATCAATAAAATGACTGAATCTTAAGTTATCTATTTTGCTGGGTAAGATAGAATGCCTAATCACTTCTAGATAAATTGTTGCGCACATCATAATAAACATCTTTTGCATTTATCACATTAACTGATAGCACTATAAAACTTGAAAATGTATGCAATAGAATAAACTGCTCACATTGAAATTTTTACTGCAAATTAATAGTCATCATTCACTGAATGCTTTCCATGTTTGGCAACAAAAAAAATATGAATGTAACAAAGTACTGAATGCAATGCAAAATGGATACAAATCATCGTTTATTAATGGATTTTATTTTACTACTTTATGAATAAACCAACCAACCAGTCATTCCTGCAGGACATCCAGCACATTTGAAGGAACCTGGCAGGTTGATGCAAGTTGATCCAGGATAACAAGGACTTGATTCGCACTCATTCACGTCCTCACAAACTGGATTATTCTTATCAGCTGAAGAACGATAACCCCACTCACATAGGCAACGATAGCCCGGCTAAAAATCATATTTATCTCTCTTCTAAACCTCAGCCCTTTACAATTAATATTATATTTATCATTTAATAAAAATTTTAATATCATATCTATCACTCTTCTTCTGTTACTAGTTATGACATTGCAGCATCCACAAATTATACATTCAAATCAAGCAGTATTGTTTTAGTAATCAAAGAAATTATCTTAACAACGCATCAATGAAAAGGAAACAGTTCAACTAAAAGTTCAACATAAAATCTTAAATCTAAAATATTATATATCAATTAATAATTTAGTCTTTGAGTAATGATTAAGCTGTAGTTCAAAATATAAATTGATTCAATTAATACTTTCATGATATTAGTTCGTTACGCAAGATCTAAATATTGAAATCACCGAAAATCAAAAACTTTAATCTTTATGCAGGCGAAATGCAAGCCTTGGTGAGTGTGACTTCATGAACATATCAATAGTCTTTGCCTCTCTATTGAAATATAATCCAGTTTCTCAATGTAAATTACTTCATTAGATCCTGGAGGTGGTTGCGTGGGAATACAATGTCCAGCTTGACCACATAAATCCAATGAAAATTCACAGGCTGTGGCTCGTAGTTGACAGTGGGTCCCATGGAAGCCTTGTGGGCACTCACAACTAAAAATATACATAAGCTTCCATTAGGATACTTCTGAGCTAAAATATAAAGTGTTTTAGTTGATACTCACTGAAATCCGGTTGTCCTTGGAATGCAAGTTGCATTATTCTGGCATCCAGCGGGTGTTCCTTGATATAGGCTGCATTCATCAACACGTTTTTCGCAAGTTTCGCCCTACAATTTTCATAACTTATAAATTGGAAATAGATGTACACAGACAATAAATCAATCGACTGCATCATCTGACAATTTCACTCTGAAAAGAACACTCAAGAAAGCTTTAAATCTCGAATGTATGGCATAAATACCAAAAACTGAATTTTCATTTCGAGTAAAATCAAATACTCACTTCATACAATGAGGGGCAAATGCAAATGAACTTGTTGTAAAGATCGATACACGTTCCGCCGTTCACGCATGGACCATCCGCGCATTCGTCTCTTTTCAAACGAGCGTCCAGAAGTATAATATGCGACTTCACAGCATTGAGCATATTTCGAAATTTCCTTCCACCACCTTCTTTCCTGGTTGTGTTTAAGTGATCGAAACGCTTCGTAATGTCAGCTACCTAAAAAAGCTACCAGTGAAATTGTTCTCAAATTCGGTACCATCAATTAATTTATTCCTAAGATTATTATTACTTTCAGAGTGCTATGTTCTATTTTGACTCTAATGCGCAAACAAATACTGTGTATTCTGCATACATCACTTCGGTTTCGATGTTTTTTACTCACGGTGAATTGGACAAAGTTCACGAATTGATTCAGCGTGCATTGCTTAGTTCAAATTTTCTGTTTAAAAAGCAAGTGGCATTCACTGCTGAAATTTTTGTACAATTTTGGTCAGTAAAGTAAGGAACCTTTGACCCCTATTGACTAAATATAAGCTAAATATAAATCTCAATAAACCTTTTTGAAATTTTTTTTATTGCTTATCCTCTTCATCCTTTTATATGCAATCTTTATTTTCATACTTTTCACTTCTAACCAGCTCTTTATCATTCTAAAAGATCAATTACACTTGTCACAGATTCCCGCTTTAGTTTTTTTTTACCTTCAGCAACTCCGAAATTTTTTCTCAAATTCACTTCTCTGCATGATTAGAAACAATCATTGTCATTACTATCACCATCATTGTTATCGCTTGCTGTCACTCAAGTTTTCAAACAATGTAAAGCTTCAATATTCGCCCTGAATCTCAGCTCGATACCCTGAAGAGCGGTCAACTAAAGAGCAGAGAACATTTGTCGCAATCTCAGCAAATTCAGCCAATGACTTCATCATATTATTCAACACCAAAGTTTACGTCTTTTCCATTCTCTTGCCATATCTTTCCTTTTTTCTATGTTTTCTCTAACGTCTATCATTTATAATTATTGCTATTAATTCAGTTTTTGTTTGAAATAGTCACTAATTGTTGTATAAATAAGTAAGTATACGCAGGAGCAAATAAACGGAGTCATCTCGCAATGAGTAAAATTAAGTGCAGCACAAGTAAGATAGCTCTTCATTCAGAGCAAATCACGAGTGGTATCATAACGTGCGTGATATGCCTGCTCTCTGTGTGACGTAAAAAGAAAGGGGTGGAAGTTGCTATATTCTGCTTCTTATGTCTCTTTTTGTTTATTTTTAACTAAATATAAACCATACAAACTCTCGATTCAACTACTTTCTGCATTGAGTACAATTGTTTAGCTGACTGATTATGATATCAGTTTGACAGACTGTAACAAAATAGTACCATTTCACGAATGTGATCTTTAATTACTTTCTCCTCTAACGTTACTCGACAAAATCATTGAATATATGAAAAAAAGTTATGGGGACGACAATATTTCATTGAAATTTTTTGCTGGAATTTTAGTATATTAACATGATTTATCTGGCTAATTTTTTATGAATTATAAATTTCTAAGAGACAATATATTTTTAGCAATTGTTTCTCAGTAGTCACTACCCTAAACTCTTGTTTCTCTGCATAGAAGTAATGGTGACTTAACATACATTTTTTAGGTGACCATAAATGATTGGTCACTTACGTGAGAGGTTCTCAAAAGTTAGATGTATGCATTAGTGTTCGTATGCTTTCAGTTCGAATTATGCGTAATAAATCTTGCTCCTTATGGCAGCTTATGTTATTATAACGTGCAGAATATTCTTTGCTGTGATTTAACTACTTAGTTTCCGGCTTAATTGTATCTACATTTGGGAAAAATATTTTGCGGTGAAAATTTAATCGGTCGTAAAAGATATTTCAGGAAATATGCCACCAACCAGAAAAGTGTTGCAAGATGACGAAGAAAGCTCGTACGGATTTGTCTATGGAGTTTCAGGACCTGTAGTTACTGCGGAAAAAATGGCAGGGTCAGCAATGTATGAACTGGTACGTGTTGGACATGCAGAATTAGTTGGTGAAATTATTCGTCTAGAAGGCGATTATGCTACGATTCAGGTTTATGAAGACACATCAGCAGTAACAATAGGAGATCCTGTACTTCGCACAGGTAAACCATTATCAGTAGAATTGGGTCCAGGTATTATGGGTTCCATTTTTGACGGTATTCAACGCCCCTTAAAAGATATCGTCGATTTGACGCAGTCGATTTACATTCCTAAAGGTGTCAATGTTCAAGCTCTTTCACGTGAAACGCTTTGGGATTTCAAGCCAAACAAGAAGCTTAATGTTGGCGATCACGTAACAGGTGGTGATATCATCGGTTTTGTTCCTGAAAATGTCCTCATTAATCATCGAATAATGCTTCCACCTATGGCGTGTGGCACTATCACATACATTGCTCCTGCTGGTTCCTATCACGTTACGGATATCGTACTAGAAACAGAATTTGCTGGCGAAAAGTCGAAATTTTCAATGCTTCAGGTGTGGCCTGTTCGTCAACCACGTCCGTGTGCGGAAAAATTAGCAGCAAACTACCCATTACTCTGTGGCCAACGTGTTTTGGATGCGTTGTTCCCTTGCGTGCAAGGTGGCACGACAGCTATTCCTGGGGCTTTCGGCTGTGGTAAAACTGTAATTTCTCAGTCGTTATCCAAGTTTTCTAATTCCGATGCTATTATTTACGTTGGGTGCGGTGAGCGTGGTAATGAGATGTCAGAAGTACTACGTGATTTTCCGGAACTAACTATGGAGGTAGATGGCGTGACAACTTCAATTATGAAGCGTACAACTTTAGTAGCAAATACTTCAAATATGCCTGTAGCAGCCCGTGAAGCATCTATTTATACCGGCATTACGTTAGCTGAATACTTCCGTGATATGGGTTTGAATGTTTCTATGATGGCAGATTCTACCTCTCGTTGGGCTGAAGCTCTTCGAGAAATATCAGGTCGTTTAGGTGAAATGCCAGCTGATTCCGGTTATCCAGCATACTTAGCTGCTCGATTAGCATCTTTCTATGAGAGAGCAGGTAAAGTGAAATGTATTGGAAGTCCCGAACGCGAAGGATCAGTAACAATTGTAGGTGCAGTATCGCCACCTGGTGGGGATTTTGCTGATCCAGTCACTTCTGCTACTCTAGGTATTGTTCAGGTATTCTGGGGTTTGGATAAAAAATTAGCGCAGCGTAAACATTTTCCATCTATTAATTGGCTGATATCATATAGCAAATATATGAGAGCGCTGGATGAATATTACGACAAAAATTTTCCGGAATTCGTTGCTCTACGAACAAAATGCAAAGAAATTCTTCAAGAAGAAGAGGACTTGTCAGAAATTGTACAATTAGTGGGTAAAGCTTCATTGGCTGAATCTGATAAAATTACGTTAGAAGTGGCAAAATTAATTAAAGATGATTTTCTACAGCAAAATGGCTATACTCCATATGACCGATTCTGTCCTTTCTACAAGACTGTGGGAATGCTGAGAAATATGATTGCGTTCTATGATCTTGCGAAACATGCTGTTGAGTCAACGATACAAACAGAGAATAAAATAACGTGGGCAACAATTCGTGATCATATGAGTGATATCATGTACCAGCTTTCATCTATGAAATTCAAGGATCCGGTCAAGGATGGTGAACAGAAAATCAAGAAAGATTATGATGAACTACTCGAGCTTATGCAAAGTTCCTTCAGAAATTTGGAAGAATAAGATATATTCTGAAAGTTCATTCAAGTTCATCATTTTATTGATGTAAAAGGTGTGCATACAGCACACATTTAACATGGTAACTTAAGGTATAATTTTATAGTGGTTTTATATTTAAAAAATCGTATGAAAAGACTAAAGGAAGAATTTTTGAAAGGAAATATAATTCTTATAGTGATGGATGGTTATTACTTTATTTATAGTCTAAGCATGAGTCTTTTAAACTTGAACTATTTTCAATGTTTCGTCTGTTTATGTATCATGAAAAATATTTCTCACTAACTAAGATTGTTTCTTCAAGATTTTAATTTTTCGTTTCGCGTTAAACTCAACGCTTTCCGCCCTTTGCGATCGTGTTTACAAATGTATTTTTTAAATTATTTTTGCTATAATTAAATATTGTCCCAGCTGTTTGTTCTTGTACACTATTCTTTTTCTTAGTCTGTGCCGGTGTATGTCGTTGTAATTATGTTGTGGAGCAACATTTTTAAAATATTGTTTGGGTTGTAAAATATATATTCTCATGTAATATTACTTAGAATATAATCCTCTATTTATCATAGAAGTAGAGTTAATATGAATGTATATTTTACAAACGCTATGATCGACTTGGAAAGTCATATCAGTTTTTTTTCTCAATTTTGATCAATTTTGGTCGTGACTTGCGATTTATCGAAGTGTATAAATCATTTAAATATATAGACGTAGAAATAAAGAACTAACTTTTTGATTCAGTGCTGCAACATCGCCACTTTCCAACTTTATTTGTTTCCTGAGAGAATCAGCCACTCTTACTAGTTGACGTATACGACTCTAAATTATGAAAAAGTGAACGAAGAGAGCTATTACATTGAATATGTACATTGCGTAGCTAATGTGAAAAGTCGTAAAGAGCTGCAAACCTTTGTCTTATCAACTTCTTCTTTTACGGCTTGAAATTCTGTCTGAAAAGAAGTTCTTTACTTCGCACATGGTACATTTTCCGAGCATGTCAAAATTATGTTTAGAAATGCTGCATAAGTTAGTGAATAATTATTCAAGTCATCAATTTAGGCACATCATTTTTCGAATTTTTGTATGAGATAACATGGAAATGACTGGCTGAATCGATAGCTGCGTAAGTAAATTTAGTAAAATTGTAACTGAGATGATTTCACGCATCAGACTTACCAATTCTGGCAATAAGTTGAGATTCTTCTCGCCAAAATAAATGGATGCATGATCATCTACTATAAATGAGATGTTTTTTTGTCGTCCAGCATGGAAGTACATATTACCATCGAGCATCACAAGCCGTGATCTGAAATCACTTATTCTACAAATATAATTTGAATTTGAATGCGTTCATTTCGTTGTGCGGATATATTAACAAACTGATTATGCGGAGCATTTTATACTATTATCTAAAATGGACGAAAAGGAGCAATTCGATCCACAAACCTCGAGTCAACTTCATTGAACAGCTTGATGTTGACATCTGTGTCGGAAGAGATGAGATGAATGCAGTTCACAGCGAAGAGCACCATCAAGCTCCAGCAGCACTTCCATGGTAACTCTCGCATCTCCTTCAATATTTGACTGCATTACTTGAATGCAAAAGACTAACCTTTAAAGCCTACGTACTCGTCGAGAATTTTTGATCTAATAAGCGTCAAGTAATAATACTTATTTAAATATGAAATTTGCTGAGGAAATAGAGACTGGTTGGAAGTTAGCAAAAATGGATAATGCAGAAAGAAGAACATGCATCATCGGTATAGAGTGAAAACTGGAAGAAAGTTTGATTACGTGATAATGCGGCATATCGATGTTTATATAACACTTGATATGGTCTTGGCTCAATTTACAGTTCATATAAACTTTGCGAGAAAGTTGAGACATCATTTAACTTCATCAATCATCTCGTCATTATAGCACCGAACAATGATGACATCACACGTTTGTTTGATGAATAATCAAATATGTTTAGCTAAAGTATATTTGTAAAATAACTCTTCTGGACGAGAATTTTAAGGACAGTCTGTGAATTGCTATCAAAAACTTACATTTTTACAAATGCTATAATTGACTTTGAATGTCAAATCAGTTTTCTGATCAAATGCTTTTTATCAAATTCGCCATACAGCTTTTCTGATGCTGCAAGAAATTGAACGCGATAAAATGTATTTGTCACTTACATAAAATGAATGTAAGTCAGCAAGATCTCAATTCTGGTGTTAGTGTATGCACTTGCAATTGTGATGAGCAGGTTACTGACAAAAGTCGAGGAAGACCAGTCACCAGTATGTGATAAAGTTAAGTAATAATATATGACGGAAGCTAAAATATCATAATAAATGTGTTATTTCAGTGGAATAAGACATTTGGCTCTCGGCGCTAATGCTTAAGAAATAAAATATTATGCAAATTAAAAAGTAATTTATGCAAAGTGAGTAAAAACATATGATTTTAAATTATTAGGATATTTTCCTCATTTGATTGTTATTATTTACTTTTTCAATTTTCTCTGTGAGTGGATAACTGGTAATTTTTAATATTTCTTTATCGAATTTAACTTATAGGCCGAATTATTAAATGGCTAATCAACAAGATAGACCATATCATTTCATTGAAGAATATGAAGCACAAAACTTTTAGAGTATCTGTTTACACAGCATCAAATCTTGATGATTATGAATAAAAGTTTCTCTTTTAATTATATAAAAACCTCATACAAAATATAATTTTGTTCAGTAAAAATTGATATCAACAGAGATTTTATAGCTACAACTGAAGCAAACAACCCATCAGATTGTACACTTTTCTCTTACATATTCTTCAACGTGAGGATAGCTGAACCAAAATTCTGCTTTTTTTATTGTCTCCTGACGTGCATCTTTCATACAATTGTATATATTTTAGCTCACAATTTTCTTCAAAAACCACACTGGAATTCCAATAAAAATTACTTCAAATGAATATATCTCACAAAAATTCAGATGAGATGAGTATGCATGCAAAATCCTACTTGGTCGGTCTTTTTCTGATAAAGATTAAATTTGATTTTTCCATGTTTGCAGATGTTTATTGTGGAAAATGGGAATGAATATGAAGGTATATGCAAAAAATAGAAGAATTCATCCCGGAGGAAAACAATTAGAAAAGTAATGAGAAAGCTAAATGATAAGGAAAATAAGTAAATAAGAGAGTGGAAAAAAGATCCAAAGACTTTCATTATGTGGTTTGATATTTATCTCATGCAATTTCAAAGATTGTGCTTGTAGAGATTAAGAATTCGTCAGGATTACGGAGTGAGTATCAGCTGTGAGTAGGATTCTTTAATTCAGCATTTCTAATTTTTCTCCTCATTTGATTGCAGTACTGTTATTAATAGTGCTGTCACATATTTTCAATTTATTTCCACTGAATTGTTCGGTATTTTGTTACCTGCGCGGATCGTTGCTGCACTGTGAGATATGTTTTTCAGTGCTCTCACTTACATTGATTACCTTGGTATTTGCTGTCTATTTCAGTCTCTTCTCAAGCATGCTCTTCTTGCAAATTACAGCAGAAATTAGCTTACTGATGTAAATAGTTTGCAAGCAGTGTTTCAGAAGATCTCAACGGATCTGTTGAGACATGGACATTCATTTCACTGCAGTAAAAATTTTTCTGGATGATGAGAAGTAATGATGAAGAAGTTAGAATCTTATCTAAATAACTTTATGTTTCTGGTCCATTAAATACTTCAT